CACGTAACCTACTTAATGGCCTTTTCAGTCCTCACGGTGGATGTGTGGGGTGAGTGTCTGCCCCCACTTTCCAGATGGTAAAACTGAGTCTGTAGAACCCAGGATGCTTGTGTTGCTTTGCCCCGGCCCCTCCTCCTCCTTAGCCAGCAGGAGCAAGTTTCCCTCCTCCCTGGTTCCTCCTCCGCTGCCGGTTGGGCTGAAAGCAGCGGGTCCTGGAAGTGGCCACGGGGATGCCTCGCCCCGCCTGGCTGCTCCTGCTGGCTGCTCCCCTGGCAGAGTCACAGCTCAGACCACCTCTGACCACCTGGGGGCTGACAACACAGCAGGGCCCTCCCAGGGGGGCTCCAGACAGGGCGGGATCAGGAGAGAGAGAAGCAGTGACCCTCTGTTCCCCTTATCTATGCATTCATTGGTTATTTGTGCCCTGACCAGGGATTGAACCTGCAACCTTGGTGTATGGGGACAATGCTCTAACCAGTGGTTCTCAACCTGTGGGTCGCGACCCCTTTGGCGGTCGAACGGCCCTTTCACAGGGGTCGCCTAAGACCATCCTGCATATCAGATATTTACATGACGATTCATAACAGTAGCCACATTACAGCTATGAAGTAGCAACGAAAATAATTTTATGGTTGGGTCACAGCATGAGGAACTGTATTTAAAGGGCCAGAAGGTTGAGAACCACTGCATCAATTGAGCTACCCGGACGGGGGCACTATCTAGGCCTCTTAACATGGCCCACGGGACCCTAAAGGTTGGGTCACCGCTACCCCTCCAGCTACCCCCCAGGAAAGCTAAGGTAGGCGGTGGAAGGAGGGCTGGCAGACCGGCCTCCCTCCGAGGGGGGCTCTACCGCCTCGGGCAGGCGGGCTCTGAAAGCGACAGCCCGGCCCGTGCGTCGCGAGGCCCCCGGCGCTCACCCGCTCGCAGGCCCCGCCCCTCGCCCCGCCCCCTCCGCCCCGGGAGCCGCGCTGTCAGCGAGCGCGCCGGGCGCTGTTTGCATACAAAGGCGGCCACGCGCGGCGCCCGCGGTGAGTAGCAGCCCTCGCGCGGCCGTGGGGCCCGGGCCGAGCCCCGCAGAGCCCCGCAGGCGGCGGTCGGGGGAGGGGCCGCAGCCTTGGCGGGGCCGCGGGGCGGCAGGGACCGGGGCGCGCGGCCGGGCCCACCTGACGGACGCCCGCGGACCGCGCTCTGTCCCCGCGGCCTTTCGCGGGGAGTGGTTCCGGGAGGGGGGGTGCGGGGGGAGGCGGGGACAGCGGCCGCGGTTAGATGGACAGGTTCATCCTCGGGCCTGCAGGGCTGACCTTGAGCGGCTGGGCCGGCCGGCGGGGCGGGGCGCTCCGGGACTGGGAATCCTGGCTGGGGGGACCCTCGATGGCGGCAGGAGAGGTGGTTCTTTCTGTGCAGCGAGCAGCCCCTGCCCTCTGCCCGGGACTGTCATGCGATGTGCCCCGGAGGGTTAAGATTCCTGCTGTGCAGTTGGGGAAACTGAGGCCGACACGCCCAAGGTCATGCAGCTGCCGGGCGGCAGCGGCGGCGAACCGGGCTGGAATCTGGGTCCTCGGGTGGCAGCGGTCCCCCGATTGCCAGGCCTCTGTGCACCCTTCCCGCAGCCTCGTGGGCGCTGGGCCTAGGGAGTCCCGTCAGGTGCCCCTGCAAATAGTCTTATTTGGGGGAAAGCCGGACAGAGTGGGATGAAGAGTAGTGTTCTGCAAATCACTGTAGGGCCACAGCGCTGGCGTGTAGGTGGCTGGCGAAAGCAGATGTCAGCCCTGTTTTTGACCACGACGCGGGGAACGTGAACGCCGACGGTGGGCAGCATTAATTCGGAGAGTTTTTAGCACCCAGGACAGTAGGGGTGTTTTGGGAAAGATGAGCTTGAACAGGGTTTCTTTTATGTTATCGGGGTGTGTATGGCGGGGAAATTCACTGTTAACCTGGGCCCCATAATTCCGGTCCCAGGGATTAAAGTAAGCCCTGAGGACAGTGCATAGTAATCCAGAAATAAACACACTTCTCCCCGCCCAGAAATGTTGGAAGATCTAGGGGTTTATGTTTTGGTTCCTTATTTTGCTAGCGCTTCATGTTTGCCAACATTTGTTTGATTAGCAAGCGTTTTTGTGTGTGGGTGTTAGTCTTGGAGCTTTTATTCCTGTTAACATGGGACCACGTGGCACAGGCCTGGACAGAGCCCCGGATGGGACCTGAGGCCTGGGCTCCAGTCTAAGCTTGGCCTTAGCTGGCCGTGGGACCCTGGTCTCAGTTACCAAAACAACCCTCATCTATTCTAGAAAAGACCGGACTGCAGGGGCAAACCTGCTGGATGTCAGCGCACGGGGTTCAGGGGAGGGGCCGGAGGATCTCTTGGTTCTTCAGGCGGAAAGATGTCCCCTGTCCCGCCGGGAAGTTGGGTGGAGGCGAATGGACGGGGCTCAGGCTGGCAAGGAGCAGGCTGCTTTCCCACCGCTGGTGGTCACCGCCACATCTCTCAGCCTGCTGACCGAGTTTTGTGATCCCTCCCACAACTGGTGTTCAGGTCCCAGCTCCCCGCAGACTAACCTGTTACAACAAGCAAGTTACTAGCCTCTCAGCTTCAAATCTATAGAATGGGATGGCATTCCCATGGCCCAGCCTCCCAGGAATGATAAGCCAGAATGTTTTTGCTGGTGCCGAATGCCGGAGCTTTCCAGAAACACAAGCTACATGCTGCTGGCCGGGACTCAGGGCTCCCTGAGCCGTGTGCTCCTGCGCGTGAGCTGACCACAGGCCCTGTGACCCAGACGCACCTGTTTGCCAGCTGCTCCTGGGACAGGACAGTCCATGCGCGCCGTGTGCCTGGTTTCCAGGAAGTCCCTGTCCTTTTGATGAAACCTTCCTCTGTGTGCACGGGCCTCCAGAGGCAACCAGCATGGGTTTACGAAAGGGACAAGCCACACAGGTCATGGGGTCATGGGGCCCCCTCCCCCACAAGGTGCACTCCTGGGCAAGAGCATTTCCTGCCACTGAGCTCTGCATGCGGCAGAGCGCTGCCCAAGGGGGCGGGGGGGGGGGGGCTGCCTTTGGGCTTCGATTTTTTTGGACAAACAGAAATGTATCCGCACCGTGTGGGAATAAAAGCGTACCCTCCTAATATTTCCGTAGTCATTGGAGCCAGTAGTATTCTTTGCCCTGTCTTTTTGGGGAAGGTGCACTTAAAATAGTTGGAGGGGCTTGATGGGGGAAAAAGGGGCACATATGTAATATTTTCAACAATAAAGATAAAAAAAAAAAAAGTTGGTCTGTGCAAAGTTCCGCCAGGCAAGACCTCAGTTCGAAGCCCAGCCTTTGCCTGGAGCCAGTTGTGACCACAGGATGAGCACCTGGCTGGCATTCGGGCAAGCCCCTGGGAAAGTACTTTATTTTCTTATCAGTCCTGGGAGGCTGGGCCATGGGAATGCCATCCCATCCTATGGATTCGAAACTGAGAGGCTCGTAACTTGCTTGTGGTCACAGGTTCGTCTGCGGGGAGCTGGGACCCGAACACCAGCTGTCTGCATTCTTGCCCCCGAGCTGTGTAGGCCGGACCCTGGACCGGCCAGCTGGTACTCAGCCCTTCAAGAATTCCTGGGGTGGAGTGGGTGAGTGGGTGTCATACCGAAGTCACCAAAGCAGGGCATTCTTTTTGACCGAGACACAGACTTGGGCAGAGGGCTCTGGCCAGTGTGTGAAGAGAAGAAGCAAGCCCGGAGCTCAGTTAGAGTCCAATAATGAACAGCAGAGGGTCGGGACCGAGGTCTGGCCGCCTGGTAGTTTAGGCGCCTGCGTCACCCACCGGCCAGGCCTTTTGTGCTCCTTGGCCGGGCCCTGTGGTCACTTGTCACGTGGGGCTGTCTGGTCCGAGCGTTGCAAAACGCTGGAGGAGCCGAGCGGGCGCCCGTCTGACCTTCCTGACCCCCCTTTACTCTCTGGCGTCTCAGTGGGTTCAGTGACGGGGAGACCTTGACACGGAGCGGGTCAGAGGGTTCTGTTCTCTGAGGTCCTTACAACTTAGTAATCCACACACACGTAGAAAGCGACACTCAGAAACCAGCACGGTGGAAACGCACGCGATGAGAAGTGAGGCTCCCCCTCCCCCAGGCCTGGTCCCAGGTGGGCCTGTGAACGAAGCTTGCTTGGCATGGGAACCAGTCCGGGAGTTTTGCGTGCACATCAGGATATGAGTACATGTAATTCTTCACACGGGGGCTCATGTTGTAAGCACTTGTGTCCCTTCCTCCTCTACGGTGTGGCTGGTCCGTAATTCACGTAATCAGAGTCCTGGAGATGTTGGCGTTGTTCCTAAGTTTCCCTGTCATGGTCAGTGCCGTGATACTGTCTGTATATGGCCCTTGCAGAACTGCTGGGGTGCGCTAGTAGGTGTCGAGTGACAGCTGTTCCCCTGTCGCAACCCCCCCTTGCCCCCCACCTCAGTGCTCACCCTGTTTCTTACCCCACCAGCAGTGAGCGGTGGGTGTGCTTCTCCCATTTTCACCAACCCTGGGGGTTTCTGAAATGCATTGAATTTGGGCCACCTGCAAGGCCCCTTTGAGTTGCATGTGTTAAATTATGAATAGGGTTGAATATCTTCCCATGTATCCTTGACCAGATGGGGTCCTTCCCTCTTTCCTTCCTTCCTCTCTGAACTCGTTTTTTATTTTGCCCATTTTTCTGTTGGGTGGGACCGAGGCCATCCTAAACTGGCCCTGCTATTCTAGAGCGGCCGGTGTGGGCAAAAGCGGCCGGGTTATGAAAGCTGTGGCCGCAGCTTTGAGTTTGGGCATTCGTTCAAGAAGCCAGTGTTCCTTGGCCATTTGTGAACCCTGGAGGAGGATCCTGCCAATTTGGGGACGAAATGCTGATATTTTTCTGATGTAACAACTAGGTGAGAAGTGGTGAGACCTCCATTGCCCAATCCTGACCCTGGGACGGCCCCGCCCTCCTGGGACCGTGGGGATTGGGGTGGCTACCCCTCTGGCGCATCTGAGAGGTGCAGGCAGTTGTACTGATTGGCTTCAGCGTGGGGCGCTCCCGCCCGCCCGTGTGGGGACCCCCATCCGCTCTGTCTGCTCCCTGCAAGTCTGATTGTCTGGCGCCCACTCCTGCAGGGTGACAGGGCCCTCCGTCCTGACACAGTCACTCCGCACACCTGCCACTACCTCCTTCCTGCAGGATCACCGGGAGCAGCCGTCCCCTCCTGGCCCTGAGCTGAGCTGGGATGAGTGGGAGTGCTGGCTTTGTCTGACCGGCTCCATTTGGACAGGACTTTGGTGGGGCGACTCCAGGGCCCGCCGGTTTTGCTGCTGTGTCACTTCCGTCAGGCAGTCTTAGTCTGACCTGCAGGCTTTTTCAAAGCACCTCAAGCTTTTGTGGTGAATTTTCTGATTTTGGACGAGTGTCGCCGGAAGAACCCCGACGAGCCAAGAAAGGGCCCGCATCCCGAAAGGTATGGCCGGCTTCGCGCTCTTGTTTAAGACGCCCCTGTGTGCGGGCCGGGAACGCAGCGGGAGCGGCTGATGGACCCACGCAGTCCCAGTCCGCGGCTGGTGGGAGGGAGTGGCCTGCCCCAGCTGGGCTGCCAGGTGTGCTGCCAGGTGTGGGTTGAGAGCAGGTACCTTGACTTTCAGCCTGGTGTTCGTTCCCCTGCGTCGCACTGCATCTAAGTCATTCTTCCTGTTGTTGTGATGTAAACGCAATTTATTGTCCTCACCGGCTGGTAAACGTCCAATAGGCAGCACAGACTTCCTTGTTGCCGTTAACATAAGCCACAAGAGGAAGATAGGCTGTCTGTAAGCCAGCTTCGTTTTCATGCAAGTCTTATTAGTCAGATCGTTTTTGGCATTTCTTACAACACGCTTTTTAATGCTTTGGATGAAAACCAGCGTTGACGTCATAGCCGCGCAGGTGAGCGTGATCCGGGCCAGCGCAGTGGCAGTGAGCTGTGTGTGCTTTTACTCAGGGTTCGTCAGACTCAGATTTGGACCCCAGACCTAGAGACCGACTGGAAGGTGCTCAGAGAGCAGCCAGGGGTGGTGGCATAGCCCGCACCCCATCCTCCTGGGGCTGGGCTGGGGGCTGGCCTCGCCCCCCTAGAGTGCTAGGGCCTGGGACAGCCGCATTGCTCTCCTCCGTGGCCCCAGGACAACCCGGAGGGTGGAGGGTGAGCTATTTCTGGGCTGAGGGGAGAACCCAGGGGAGCAGACTCGCGTGCCCTTGAGGAGGAACCATCCACTAAGAGCCAAAGGGCTTAAGTACCCCTGGTGACAGGCTGCTCACTCTCCCAAAACAAAGTACTCAGCTTCCTAGGAAGGTTACAGGTGGACCTCAATATTCAGTTGTTCAGTTACTGAGCCAGTTTAGGGATAAGACTTTCTGCTTCCAGGGACAGGAATCAGTCTTACCTGGTGCCGAGCCCAGAGCCAGGCCCCGGCGAGCGCTCGAGTAACTGCTGCGTGAGGGGTGGGGTGGGGATGGGCCAGCTGCCCACCGGTCTCCAGAGGCCATTTCAGACACACGAGGTGGATGGGGATGAAATGAGGAGGGCGGAGGTTTCAGCCCTGAGTGTTTAGACTTTCCTAGCAACACCTTTCTGCCCTTCCCTTCGTTAACACAAAAGTAACGCGACCCCCCCTCCGCACTGCAAGGTGCATGGGCTTCCCCCTGGCTCGAGAGCTGGTGGCAGGACTCGGCCTTGTCAGCGAGCCCGACCCGAATGCCTGCCTTACCTGCCTGTGCCACCTGGAGAGGGCAGGGGCGGGCTGTCTGCTGCTGCCAGCTCAGGCACACCTCCGGAGCACGCAGACACCTTAGGGAAAGGAAACGCAGCTATGGAAATGCGCCGCAGTGGGTCATTTTGGCCTGGTCATTGGGAGTCAATGTATTTCCATGTACGGAACATGTGCTCTGCTCTCCTGCGTGGTATGACTGAGTGTGTGTGCGCGCAGCCACATGTGCAGTGCGGACTGGGAAGTCATGCGGGAGGTTTGCAGGATGGCGCAGGCTCACCTGCATGGGAATGCTGCTTGCACCTCTCACCTGCTTGGGGCCCTGACCGAGTTACATAACCGAAAGCTCGGGCTTCCGCTCTGCCAACAGGGACACCATACCCCTCGCGTCACCGTGATAAACAGTGAGTTATTGGACCTCGCTGTTCTCATCACCCGGGCAGCGTGCGATCCTGATGGCTGTGACAGTGGACGCTGGGCTTAAAGGTGTCTCGCTGGTTCCTGGCTGACATGATCTCGGCCTGGTGCTGCTGCTAAACTCAGTGGCTGTTTGCAAGTTTCCCCGATGAGCTCACTTAACCACAGGCTGGGCCGGGACAGCCAGGCCGCCGGTGGCTCCGCACCCAGGTGTGCAGTCCTGCCGCGGATAACAGGAAACAGCAGGCCTCGCGGGGGCAGAGGTGGAGTTGGTTTCCAGTCCGCGGGCTCCCGGCTGCCTTAGACCCGGGCCCCACACTTGCTGTGAGGGAGGTGGCGCAGAGTGTGCATCCCTGAGCACCGGCCGTGGGCCGTGGGTTTGCGGCAGAACTCTCCAGGAAGCCATGCTCGTTCTGAGGACAGATGTGCAGACACTTCGACCGCAGGCTGAGCAGAGGAGGGTGCTCCCGCCCTGGTCCTCGTGGGGAGCGTTTGGAATGTTCCTTTAAGGGCCCTGAGGAGGGACGGCTGGTGGAACACTCGTGAGAATAGCCCGTCGGAGCCACGGCTGAGCCAGACTTCCTAGTCACGTGGCGAGGTAGTGACAGTCCCGTGGCCCCAGCTTTCCTGGGCAGAGACCCATCAAGTGCCCCCTCCTTGCAGGGAGGTCGGGTGAGTGCTGGCCCCCCGTGGCGGGGAGACCACCTCCAGGCCTCCGCCGGCCCCACAGTGGGTGCAGTTCCTGCTTTTCCGGCTCTTATCCGTTACCTGCCATGGCCTGTTGTTGGCAAGGGGTCTATGAGCCTCTAATTTAAACTGCATTTGGAGTGAATTTTGTGGGGGCGTTGTCTTGACAAGTTTCAATGGCGAGACTATACTTTCTTAATTTATTCTAATTTTTAAATTCTAGCACTTTCCCCCATATCCAGACTTGCCTAACTACTTCGGAGGGAGGTGGAGGGTGTGCCTCAGTATCTGTACATCCTGTACTCCATTCTCCCATCCCCCCCCCCATCTCTCCCCCGCCCCCCTCCCCCCCCCCCCCCCAATTCCCGGGCTCCTGCTTGGGTTGAAGGCTTGATTTCTTTTTATTTTTTTATAATATATTTTTATTGATTTCAGAGAGGGAGAAGGAGAGAGAGACAGAAATACTACTGGTGAGAGAGAATCACTGATCAGCTGCCTCCTGCACGCCCCACACTGGGGATTGAGCCCGCAACCAGGCATGTGTTCTGACCTTGAATTGAACTGTGAGCTCCTGGTTCATAGGTGGACGCTCAACCAGCCCCGCCGGCTGGTGTCCTGACGTCGTTATGACCAGGCCCTAGAACCATAAGCTTGGAGCCCAGCACATTCTTGAACCCCCTCTGTAACTGCGTCGCCAGCGGGTGGCTCAGACTCCGACCACAGCTGGTCTCCCGTTGTGCCGTCCACGCCGGCTCCGGACGGCCTCTCGGTGGTTCTGGCGTTCTCACCGCCTGTGACCATCGTGCAGCACTGGGTGCCCCGTGGGCAGTCTGAGTGTTCGTTGTCATTTGGACCCGGATGCTCACCCTCTCTTTGCTCAAGCCACACAAGGGGCCTTTCTTACCCGAGCCTCGCCCATTGGTACCAGTGTTAGCCAGTGAGGTGGGGCAGCCGTGCCAAGGGGAGCAGCGTGGACCAGGGCTCCAGCCTGGCTCCGGTCCCCGCTCTGCCCCGTCCTGGCCGGGCTACTTGCTCCGAATGAGCGTCACACACAGTTGGCGCCCGGGTTCCTGTGACGCACGGGGTGACGCTGCTGGTCCTGACCGTCGCGCAGGGTTGCCCAGGTTCGTGTCCCGTCCGGAGCTCCCCGTGCGAAGGGCCTGCACACTGGGGGGTGCTCTGCGGACGAGCGGGGGGTCCGCGCGGCTTCTTCCCGGGACCCGGTTGGCGCTAGTCAAGGGTGTGGAGCACCACGGGATGGGTGCTGGGGCGGCGCCCTCGCATACGGTTTCCCCTCCAGGTCGGTAGGCCTGCTGGTTTCCTAGCCCGCTGCCGCCTTGCCCGGAACCGCCTGCGGCGATCACCCCGGAGTGGCCGGCTGGGTGTCAGGGAGCGGCAGGCAAACATTGAACACGTTAAGCGCCTGTTCTGTCTTCCGGACGGAGGGTATAGTGCCAGTCACCGGTGACTGACCGGGCGCTTACCGTGTCAACTCTTCAGGCAGCGGATTTGTTTCCTCCTGGAGCCGGCAAGCCTCGCGGTTCAGGATGTCCTTTCAAAGCCGAAGCAGAGGTTAGCCGCTGTGGAAACGCAGTGCATTGGGTAATCTGCTTTCAGGAGTCTCCGCTTGCTCCCAGTGGCGTCCTCACCGCGCTCTGTCGCCACCGCAGGCCTCATTAGCGCCGGAGAGGCCGCGGGTCCTGCCGAAGCGGGGGCCTCCCCAGCACAGAGCCGCATCCCCCCCCTGCACGCTCCCTCCTGCTCTGCCTCAGCGTCACCTCAGCACGGACCCTTCCCCGAGCCTGGCCTCCATGCTGGGCATGATGCTGGGCATGCGTTTGTTGTCACTGTGCTAGAGGAGGAGGGAGGCAGTTCTGACCCTGCATCCTCTGTTTCCATGGTAACAATCTAAACCAGCATTTTCAACCCGTGTGCCGCGAGGATTTTTTAAAACTCGCCATACCTGACTATTTAGTCAGGGGCACTGACCTCTTTCCCCTTAAATTGCGAAATAAAAAAAAATGACACCAGCCAGCACAACAATAGCTGTCCGGCGTGAGTGCCCTGCCTTGAACCACAGGTCATATAACAGAGTTACATTTTATCCGTCATGTTGCATCATCAGGTTGCATCTGGTTGGTTAATTATTGGTACCAGAAATCCTTATATACGGTACAAGTATAGGCATCTGATTTTTTAAAAAGTCACTTTGGAGCAAAAAGGATAAGTAATTATTATTATTTTTATTTTTTTGTAAATCAATCAAAATGACACCTTTTTTTGACCAGCATTTTAGTCGTTGGTTTATGTGTGCCAGGAGATAAGAGAGGTTGGAAATTGCTGTTCTGAACCAATAAAGCACTTCCTCTTTGGGAAGACAGTCCCATAGAGATTTAATTCAGTCCTGCCAGACGCACCTCGTTTAACAGACAAGAGAAGTAAGATTAGACTCCCGTCTTTCGAAAGTTGAAGGATCTAGATCAGCGGTTCTCAACCTGTGGGTCGTGACCCCTTTGGGGGGGGGTGGAACGACCCTTTCACAGGGGTCGCCTAAGACCATCGAAAAACACATCTATAATTACATATTGTTTTTGTGATGAATCACTATGCTTTAATTATGTTCAATTTGTAACCATGAAATTGGGGGTCACCACAACATGAGGAACTGTATTAAAGGGTCGTGGCATTCGGAAGGCTGAGAACCACTGTTCTAGACAAAGGACGCATGGAAATAGTTAGAGAAAACATGACAGGTGTGACCCCAGACATCTCCCAGGCCCCTGGGGGGGCGCCCGGAGAGGAGCCAGCCTCCCGCCCTCCGGAGAGACCAGCGAGGTGGACGAGGTCCGTCCAGCCACTTGACAAACGACAGCTCCCATCTATCCAGCCGCTGCCCTGGAAGGGCGGTGAGGTCATGCACTGACCTGGGGGACAGGGGCAGGTTGGCCGCAGGTGAGGAGGGACATGGAGGAGGCAGCGGGAGTCCTGATGAAGGACGAGAACGGAAAGCAGAGGCGGGAAGGGTGGTTCTGAGAGCTGTGTTCAGTGAGCGATGTTTGCGTTCATGTTGACCCTGGCTGAGGTGGGGTCTCACCGCCGAGCCCCGGGCTGCAGCCTGCCCAGAGAAGAGGAAGGTGGTGGCACATCCTGGGGTGGCACCCCGTCACCATAGGAAATGGAGAAGCGGTTATTTCCCAGGCAGCGTGCCTCCAATAACGTTACAGTTGGGAGGGCTAGAAAGGAATAGAATTCACTTTTACCCACTTGTATAGTAAGTGAGCAGAACTGCTGGTTCCTGAATTGACGATTAAGGGGCTTGGCCTCAAAGAATCCAAATTCCCATATGTAGTTTTAATGATTGACTCCTTTTGGTAAGATTTCTTTTTTTAAAGAATATAATGGACTCTTTTTGAGCCGAACACACTCTTTCTTCTTAAAGTGGTAGGTGGACTCCCATGTGGAAATACGCTTGGGTTTTTATTCCCGCTGTGCCATCGATTTGGGTCTGATGTAAGTGCTGTCGTCGTTTTTAACTGACTGAAGACTATCTGGAAAAGTGGGGTTCCGGCGGGAGGCAGTAGCCCCAGACACGTAGTATTTTCCAGGTCAAGCTCGGAAATGCCATGTAAGGAAAAGTCTCATGTGTCCGTGCTGCTGCATCTGAGAGCCACTCTGACACCCACACCACGCCTCGGGGACCCGCTTGTCGGAGGGTTTGCGCGGTCCGGCTCAGCGCTCCCGAGACACCCTGTGAACCAGACTGCGGAGCCCCGGTTCAGGGGTAAACGCCCTGTCAGGCGCAGCAGCTCTTTCTTCCAGAATTTGAGATGAAAATCCACCGACGGGAAGTGATTTGGAGTGGGGGAGGGGAGGGGCACGCCTCGGAGCTGTTCACCAGGAAACTTAAGTGTTTCGTTTTGTTTGCTACAGGTTTTCCATTCTGTTACCCTTTTTTCTTTAAAAGTATATTTTTATTGATTTTTAGAGAGAGAGGAGAGGAGAGGGAGAGGGAGAGAGAGAGAGAGAGAGAGAGAAACATTGATGAGAGAGAACATCAACACCCATCAGCTGCCTCTGCACGCCCCCTGCTGGGGGCCAAGCCCACAACCTCTGACGGGGAATCAAACTCGAGACCTCCTGGTGCGCAGGTCCAGGCTCAACCACTAGGTCACACAGGCCGGGCACATTATGTTGCTCTTGAAGCTTTTAAGGTACTTTCTTCTTCAAAACAAATGTTGCCCTCAGGCCTGGTCACGCGTCCTGTGAACCTGGCAGTGATGCGGTGAGCGCAGGAGCCGAGTCCCTCTGGGCTCTGTCTGGTTCCGTATCTCCAGGTAAATCAAGTTAGCGACTTTCCGAGCCTGTTCCTTCAAAGGGAACCGAGGCGGCGGACCTTGGGAACTGGCGCCCGCCGGTCTGTTCCTGGCCCTTTAGTGTCTCCTTTGTTTAGAGGACATCCTGGAAGGGTGGATGAAGGAGAGCTGGTCGCCCCCAGCTGGCCTGCACCCCTCCGCCAAGCCCCAGCTCCAGGGAACCTGGGCCCACCCTCCCCCGGGCCTCCTGGGCCCAATGATCTTCCAGATACATTTTTTAACCAAATCATAGTCACCTTCCCAAAATGAGTTCTTGGTGAATACAGTTTTCTTCCTCATCCCCTTACATTTTGTTTAAATGGTGGTGACATATACATAACATTAAATTTATTATCTTAACCATTTAAACCTGCCCAGTTCAGTTCACTTAATACCAGTACATTCACGCCGCGGCAGCCCTCACTCCATCCAGGCCCAGCCGTTTCTCGTCTCGTGGGAAGAAGCTGTGTCCCCATGAAACTTCAACTCTCCTCCCCCGTCCCCTCGGCCCGGTAACCATTGCTCTTCTTCCCGTTCCTCTGAGCCTGTCTGCCCCCACTGCCTCCCGCGCGAGCTCATGCGGTGTCTCCCTTTTGTCCTCAGCGTCATGTCCTCAAGGGCCACCCGTGGTTAGCATGTGCCAGGATCCTCCATCTTTTGAAGGCGGAGTGAGCATCCGTTGTGTGTATAGACCGCATTTGTCCATTCTCTCATCATTGGACGCGTGGCGCGTCCCGCCGTTTGGCAGTTGGGAGTCCTGTAGCTGTGAGCATGGGGGTGCAGATCTCTCTCTGAGACCTTGCTGTCAGCTCTCGTGGCCGTACACCCAGAGTGGAATGGCTGGACGGTATGGCAGCTCTCGGTTTAATTTCCGGAGAGTCAGCACCCTGTGCTGTATTGTGGCTGCACCGTTTCGCATTCCCATCGACAGTGTGTGGACTCAGTTTCTCCACATCCTCACCAATGCTTGCTTTCCCTGCTTTTCAGATAGAGGCCATCCCAGTAGGTGGGGGATAGTAGCATCTCCCTTTAAAAAATTCTCAGTGCCCAGCTCAGGCCGCCCCGGGGTAGAGGCTGAGGATGGGGGTATTGCCGGGTGGGGCCATGACCCTGCCGTTTGTTAAGAATTATGGACCAGGTTCTCTGCTTCTCCATGGGGGGTATTTCCAGAGGCCTCCTGGGGTCTTCGGGGTGGAGGCTGGCGGGCGACGGGGTAGGTGTGGAGCCCATTCCAGGAAATAGAAAACAAAACGATGCTGGCAGGGCGCCAGGTTGGACGCGAAGTCCATGGTTTGACGGGCTGTAGGTACTGGCCTCCCCGAATTAACTGTGTGTGTGTGTGTGTGTGTGTCTGTTTTCCAGGCTCAGACCATGAATTACGTGGGGCAGCTGGCGGGCCAGGTGTTTGTCACCGTGAAGGAGCTGTACAAGGGCCTGAACCCCGCCACCCTGTCCGGATGCATCGACATCATCGTTGTCCGCCAGCCCAACGGGAGCCTGCAGTGCTCCCCGTTCCACGTCCGCTTCGGCAAGATGGGGGTGCTGCGCTCCCGAGAGAAAGTGGTGAGAGCGGGGCCCCGGGACCCCGTTCTGTGGCTTCCCATCTCCGGAGCTTGTCGTGGGCCCAGACTTTTAGCTCTCTGTTGGGTAGGGCTGTTCACCCAGTAGACGGTGAGCTCAGGTTGTTCTGGTTACGATGGCTGCGTGGACGACTCCAGAACTCGGTGGCAGAAACCAACTGTTTATTCAGCTCCTGGGTTCTGTGGCCAGGGATTCGGACAGCAGGGCTGACTGTGTCTGCCGCCGCCATCCAGGGCTCAGCAGGAAGGCTCCAGGCCGGGGCTGGAACCCTCTGGAGACGCGTCACTCACATGACGGTGGCTCTTGGCTTTTGGCCCCTCCATGTGGTCTGGGCGTCCTCACCACATGATGGCTGGCGAACATGGGGGGGGGGGGGAGAAAGAAAGAGAGAGAGAGAGAGAGAGCGCCAGCCCAGTGGACACTGCCTTTTCCTCTGACCCAGCCTCTGAAGTCACATACGCAAGCCCGCCTGGGCTCCGGGGGTGGTGGTGTGGGGCGGGTGCAGACTGCATTTCCCGCTGGGGAAGAGCAGGCAGGACCAGGCTCACCGACTGCGACCTGGAACTGTGAGCTCTCTGTGGCGTGTGTGCGATTCAAGTGCACGTGTGTGGAGGCGTGGCCAGGGAGGTTTGTTTCCTGATGTGGAGACATGCGTTTTTCTTCCAGGTTGACATAGAAATCAACGGGGAATCTGTGGATTTACACATGAAGCTGGGAGATAACGGAGAAGCCTTTTTTGTTCAAGAGACCGATAACGATCAGGTAAGGAAGGCTGGGGGTCAGGGCCGCTTCCTAGCCCCGCGCAGGAGACAGCGGAATGTGGGTGGAGCACGCTGCCGGCTCCCCGATGGAGTGGACGGGGGCAGCAGAGGAAGCAGGCGCTGTCTGTCCTGGCATTTGAGCCAGACGGGCTGGTGTGTGCTGAGTCCACAAGACTCAGCAGCCCGGCTGCTTCCGCGGGCTCACCGTTTCCAGGGGGACAGAGGAACCTAGTCGCCTGGCCTGAACCCTGGTCCATAGCACACGGATTGTACTGCTGTCAAACGCAGATGGCCGAGTGGTCGGTTTTTGTCTAGTGAGTGACCAGATTGCTTGTATTTTTATTATTTTATTTTTATTTTTTTAAAAAAATATATTTTATTGATTTTTTACAGAGAGGAAGGGAGAGAGATAGAGAGCTAGAAACATCGATGAGAGAGAAACATCAATCAGCTGCCTCCTGCACATCTCCCACTGGAGACGTGCCCGCAACCCAGGCACATGCCCCTAACTGGAATCGAACCTGGGACCTTCCAGTCCGCAGGCCGACGCTCCATCCACTGAGCCAAACCGGTTTCGGCTTTATTATTTTATTTTATTATTATTATTTAAAATTCTCACGTGAGGATATTTTCCCATTGATTTTTAGAGAGAGTGGAAGAGAGAGGTAAAGAGACAGAAATATTGATGTGAGAGAAACACATCGATTGGTTGCCTCCTGCCCGCGCCCTGACCAGCGCCCAGTCGCAGAAGAGCCTGCAACTAAGGTATGTGCCCTTGACCGGAATTGAACCCCGGACACTTCGGTCCGAAGGCTGACACTCTATCCACTGAGCTGAACCGGCTAGGGCTATTTTTATTATTTTAAAATGTCTAACAGCGTTGTTGAGATAATTCTTGTACCAACAGTTTAGCCATTTCAAGTGCACAATTCAGTGTTTTTTAGTGTTTTCACAGATGTGTGCGACTATTGCCACAGTCAGTTCTAGATCACGGTCATCACCTCCAAAGAAGCTCCGTACCTTTCGTTGTCACCTCCCCATCCACCACCCCCCCCCCAGCCCTACGCAGCCACGCATCTACTTTCTGTCTCCATCGATTCCCCTCCTCTGAGCTTTCCTGTGAATGGGACCCTGTAGTACGTGCTCCTTCACGCCTGTTGTCTTTCACTCACCATAATGTGTTCCGGTCACCCGTGCTCTAGCGTGTGTCGGTACTTCGTTCCCTTGTGCGGCGAACGGCCACCTTTTGTTTATCCTTTCATGTCAACGTTGATGGACACTTGGGCTCTTCCCCCTTTGGCTGCTGTACGTTCATGTACAAGTTTTCACATGGACATAGGTTTTCATTTCTCTTGGGTGCATACCTGGGAGCGGAATTGCTGGGCCCCACGGTAGCTGGTTAACATTTGCGGACCTGCCAGACTGCTGTCCCAGGCTGCTGTGCCGCTTACATCCCCGTCAGCAGCACGTGAGCGTCCCCGCGTGTCCGCATTTCACCTGTGCGTGTGATCTGCCTGCGTGACCGCAGCCATCCTAGTGGGTGGGAAGTGGTATGTCATTCTGGGTCTGACTGGCTGCAGACCACAGAGGGCCTTGCTGGCTGGCCGCCCAGGGTGCCGGTGGGTGGGACGGGGCCCGGAGGCCAGAGTGTGTTCTGTCCTGGGCGATGCTCCTTTCTGTCCTGAGAGAGGCTACAAACTGGGAGCTGTGTCCTTCCTCACCAGATCGCTGTAGGGCCGCCTCCCCTCCGCACCCAGCTGCACCCCTCCCCTTTTCAGTCAGGGAACCTCCTTTTCCGTTCCGGGCCAGTGTCAGCGCTCGCTCTGCTTCTTCGTCGTTCGGTCCCGGGAGCCGCTGGGTGAGAGGCCCGCCCATCCCTTCCAGCCTAGGGCTGCGACTCTCCACGCACGTGTCCAGCACTGAGAACCATGACCAGCCAGCTCTTAGGTCGACAGGCTGAGTGTGTCTTCCTTTTGGTGTGAAGAGAAGGGCCAGTATCTACCTCCCTGACACCCCCCTGCTGGAGGCGCTCTGGCGTAGGCGGGCACCAGGGGCGCGGCAGGGGGCACTGGCCAGCGGTTCCCTAAAAATTATCATTGACAACTTAATTCAGTGCATATTGAAAACTACACACACACACACACACACACACACACACACACACGCTCTCTTACACACTCTTAGACACGCGCGTGCTCTCTTACACATACACAGGCTCTCTTACACACACACACACACACACACACACACAGGCTCTCTTACACACACACTCTTACACACACTCTTACACGCTCTCTTACACGCGCGTGCTCTCTTACACATACACAGGCTCTCTTACACACACACACACACACAGGCTCTCTTACACACACACTCTTACACACACACTCTTACACGCTCTCTTACACGCGCGTGCTCTCTTACACACACATACACACAGGGTCTCTTACACACACACTCTTACACACGCGCGTGCTCTCTTACACATACACAGGTTCTCTTACACACACACACACACACGCTCTCTTACACACACACTCTTACACACACACTCTTACACGCTCTCTTACACGCGCGTGCTCTCTTACACACACATACACACAGGGTCTCTTACACACACACTCTTACACACACGCGTGCTCTCTTACACATACACAGGTTCTCTTACACACACACACACACACACACACGCTCTCTTACACACACACTCTTAGACATGCGCGTGCTCTCTTACACATACACAGGCTCTCTTACACACACATACACACACACACACACACAGGCTCTCTTACACACACACTCTTACACACACACTCTTACACGCTCTCTTACACGCGCGTGCTCTCTTACACATACACAGGCTCTCTTACACACACACACACACACAGGCTCTCTTACACACACACTCTTACACACACACTCTTACACGCTCTCTTACACGCGCGTGCTCTCTTACACACACATACACACAGGGTCTCTTACACACACACTCTTACACACACGTGTGCTCTCTTACACATACACAGGTTCTCTTACACACACACACACACACACACGCTCTCTTACACACACACTCTTACACACACACTCTTACACGCTCTCTTACACGCGCGTGCTCTCTTACACACACATACACACGGTCTCTTACACACACACTCTTACACACACGCGTGCTCTCTTACACATACACAGGTTCTCTTACACACACACACACACACACACACGCTCTCTTACACACACACTCTTAGACACGCGCGTGCTCTCTTACACATACACAGGCTCTCTTACACACACATACACACACACACACACAGGCTCTCTTACACACACACTCTTACACACACACTCTTACACGCTCTCTTACACGCGCGTGCTCTCTTACACATACACAGGCTCTCTTACACACACACACACACAGGCTCTCTTACACACACACTCTTACACACACACTCTTACACGCTCTCTTACACGCGCGTGCTCTCTTACACACACATACACACAGGGTCTCTTACACACACACTCTTACACACACGCGTGCTCTCTTACACATACACAGGTTCTCTTACACACACACACACACACTCTTACACACACGCGTGCTCTCTTACACATACACACACAGGCTCTCTTACACACACACTCTTACACACACACACACAGGCTCTCTTACACACACACTCTTACACACACACACAGGCTCTCTTACACACACACTCTTACACATACACACACAGGCTCTCTTACACACACACTCACACACACACACACGCTCTCTTACACACACACTCTTAGACACGCGCGTGCTCTCTTACACATACACAGGTTCTCTTACACACACACACACACACACACACACACGCTCTCTTACACACACACTCTCAGACACGCGCGTGCTCTCTTACACATACACAGGTTCTCTTACACACACACACACACACACACACACACCCTGACCCACACTGAAATGCAGAATTGGGTCTAGTTCCCAGGGCAATGTGGTGACTTAAAGCCCATTTTCCCCTCTGTACTCTGGAGAGTTCCACAGAGTTGAACCCTGGCGCCCAAAGTCGCTGAGCATGACCTCACGTTTTAATGACGAAGACGCGGGATTCAGTACAAGATGGCGCTTAATGAATTCCATGCTGACTTCGTGACCTCCCGTGACACTGGGCAGCCACACCCCCAGGTCACGGGGACGTTGTCACACGGGCGCCCTCTGGCTCGATCGTGCTCCTGAGGCCCTAGTGCGCGAGCCTCGTTGTAAACAAGACCTTCCGTCCTCAGGAAGTGATCCCCATGCACCTGGCCACCTCCCCCATCCTGTCGGACGGAGCCTCGCGCATGGAGTGCCAGCTGAAGAGGAACCCCGTGGACCGGGCGCGGAGCCTGGACCCCGGCGCGGCGGCCCCCGGCCTGCCTCCCGGCGAGACCCCCTCCAGCGCCTCCCTGGTGAAGAAGAGACGGAAGAGGAGGAGGAAGTCCCAGCTGGACAGCCTGAAGAGGGACGACAACTCCAACACGTCGGAAGACGAAGACATGTTCCCCATAGAGATGAGCTCCGACGAGGAGCGGGACGCGATGGACAGCAACAGGTAGACGTCGGTCCGCGGGGACAGGGCCCCTGGAGACCCGGGTGACGTGATTTTCAAACATGATTCTTACAATCACCCCCGCACCCCGCCCTGTGGATGCATTTAAAAACGGACACTTGCCTTTGTTGTGATTCTGTCGCTTTTAACATTTGACTTGAATCTCTCTTTTTTTTTAACCAGAACTCTTTCTAACGACATACCTCCATTCCAAGAAGATGTTCCCAAGGAAAACATGCCCCCAGTCATGCCTTATTCTCAGTCGTCATCGTACCCTAGTTCCGATAGAGAGTGGTCACCCAACGCCAGGTAAGCTGCCGCCCGCGTGTGTGTGCGCGCGTGTGGGTGTGCGTGTGCGTGTGTGCGTGTGCATGTGTACACGTGTGGGTGTGCGTGTGTGCGTACGCTCACCTGTCCTGGTCCAGGGGATTTGAAGTCAGCTAGGAGGCATGTTCCATAGAATAGAAACATAAACAAAAGTGGAATTCGTTAGGACAGAAGAAGATGCAGGTAGAGTAGGAGGTACAGAGGGGGATTAGCAACATGTGCAGGCCCTGTCTCAGAGCTGAGATGCAAATACAGCGCTTAGCTCCCTGGGGTGGCGTGGAAAGGGGAAGCACTGGTTAAGGGTCACAACGCCAGTGGTCACGGGAGGACACAGGCGACAGCCTTCCTTGATCCTTGTCTCCAAAGTAAGATTTAAGCAGTGAGGCTGCTTCAGGGGCCACTGAGGCCGCTTGGACGACCGCTTCTCTCTTCTCCCCGAGCTCAGTCACTCTGCTGAGTTCAAGGGTGTTTATTTCCTGGAAATGAGCCCTCACGTCGGCTAGACTTCTGGTGTGGGCAGTTTTCAGAGAACGGGAGGGGCTCATGCAACTGCAGCAGGGGCCACGGCACACACACAGCTACCCAGGACCCGGCATTAAAATCTCATGGCCCAGGGAGCACTGTTAGGGGAAAACAGCCAGATGCTCCGGGGGTGGTGATAGTGAGAAAGAGGCGGAGAAATGGCCATCTCAGTGTTAGTGCAGGACAACTGGGTTATTCTTATTCTTTCCTTTTTTTAGAGAGAGAAAGGGAGAGGGAGTGAGGGAGGGAAGCATTGATGTGAGAGCGAGACGTCGATCAGCTGCCTCCTGCACCCCCTGACCTGAATCAAACTGGCTACCTTTTAGGTTCACAGGATGACGCCCCCCCCCTCCCCCCCCCCCGGGCCGGGCTATGCTCACGCTTCATGTGAGACTTACCTCTGGTTGACAGCGGTTGTGGGGGCCCCCGGAGCGGCAGAGCTTCCTGCCTAAGCCTGTTTCCTGCTCACCAGGCCTGGTTTCACTTTCACCCGTGTGATGCGTGCATGACCCAGCGCAGTGAGCCGGGTGGGTGGGTGGGGGGGCGCGGGTGCTGAGATGCAGGTCAGGGAAAACAGGCCACATCCTGGCTTCCAGCCGGGACTGGGACGATGAATGTCAGTCAGCCGGCAGCCAGGGTGGGGCTGGGGGCCTGGGCAGTCCCCTCACTGAGGTCTGTCTGTCTGTCCAGCCCAACAGCAACATCGTGCTAGCTACAGACGTAAATTAAAATGTTCTAGCAGCCATCCTGGAAAAGTAAAGACACTGAGGAAATGAACTTGGATCATGAATTTCATCTGATCCCATGTATCCAAAATATCATTCAGGTAGTCAGTTTTTAAAAACATTATTAGTGGGCCGGCCGACATGGCTCAGTGGTTGATCATTGACCTGTGAACCAGGAAGCCACGGTTCGATTCCCGGTCAGGGCACACACCCGGGTTGTGGGCTCGATCCCCAGTGTGGGGCGTGTAGGAGGCAGCTCTCATCATTGATGTTTCTCTCTCTCGCTCCCTCTCCCTCTCCCTCTCCCTCTCCCTCTCCCTCTCCCTCTCCCTCTCCCTCTCCCTCTCCCTCCCCCTCCCCCTCCCCCTCCCCCTCCCCCCCCCCCCCCCCCTCCCCCTCCCCCTCCCCCTCCCCCTCCCCCTCCCCCTCCCCCTCCCCCTCCCTCTCTGAAATCAATAAAATACATTTAAAACCAGTGTTCCTGAGATACTTCACAGTCCATGTGTATGGTAGGTCTTTGAAGTCGGTGTGTCTCTCACATGGACAGCACTTGGCCGTTTGGACTGGTCACCTTTCCCGTGCCCAGCCGTCACCGGCAGCCAGTGGCTCTCCTGTCGGACAGTGAGGCGGGTCCCGTCCCGGAACCTCTGACATTCTCTCCTGGGGTCCCTGGAGATAAGCCCCCCAGAGGGGAACACAGGACTGAGGAGGAAAATATGGGGGGTGTTTGGACACCAGTGGGTGGAAAACATGTTCACTCTTTATTAATGCTAAGAATTTAGGTGTTTCAAACACAACCCCGAAGAGGTTTTCTCTTTCCCGTTTTCCTCTGCGAGTCCAGGGTGACGACCGTGTCAGCTTAAGAGGACCCGGCCACTGTCCGATGCAGTGACCAACTCGGATGAGTGGGCACACTTCCATTCATGGCATCATGTGTGTTCCTTAAGGGGACAGCTGGCAGCACACACAGTCAGACCACGCGCCCAGAGCCGGGAGGAAGCCCTGCGCTCTGAGCCGCGGAGGGCAGTCCTTCATGGGCACGTGGATGAGACAGAAAGGGAGCTGGGCCTCGGGCAGCTTCCTGTTTTTGCGGTTAAGAGAGTTCATGTTGATGGCGATGTCAACAGAGCTGCTCGGCTGCGGTCAGGGGCCTGGGAGGATCTTCCCTTACAGCGTCACCCCGGACGCTGGTCCTGGGACGGGTAGGAAAGCTGGTTTCACTTAATTGACCTGTGACCTTTTTTCTCTTCATGTGCACCCGGCCTCCAGCAGCCTGGTAGATTGCAAAAGGACGCCCCCTCACGTGGCCGTGGCGGCCGAGGGCCTGCTCTCTAGCTCTTGCCCTCCACAGTCGTCCGTCCTGCACGCCCTGGAAAGGTAGCGGGCCCTGCCCCACGGGGGTGTCTTCCTAACCAGCTCTCACTGACTCCTCCACCTCTACTCACCGCTAACCACAACCACTTCTGCAGAAAAACGTGTGGATTCTCTGAAGTGAACGCTTATATCTAACTCTTACAGATCCGTTCTACCGACTAGCCACATGGCTGCTGATGAAAACACCGGGTTTCTCATTCTCCTTTCACTGTAAGCTGATTCGACTCTTTCTAACTTAGTACGGACTTGGAAACTCTCTGGGAGTTGTGGTTTGATCATAGAATTTCTCCTAATTCTGTGACGTGCCTTCAGAATAGAGTAATGAAGTACAATTTGGGAAGGTGGCCTTTTGTTTTGTGTCTAGTGTTGCTCAGCCGGTAGGCTGACACGATTTTTTTAAAGGCCATTATTTTAGAGTAACGGAGCTTATTATACATGTTTAATGAGCTTGTTAGACTCGCTGAGTCGCGGCATCGGCTGTTTGCACGGCGTTCCTAGAATATTTGGAGACGAGGACGGGACGGAGCCTGTGGTCTGGTCATAGGTTTGTCTTCTCATTGGAAGCAGTGGTCTCAGGCTTCTGCCCTTTTCCCTGGGGGTTGCCCGCAGCCCGACCGGCCGGCAGTCCTGCTTTCTGGAACGAAGGGGTTCACTTTAAACTTCCGCGAAGGAAGCTAGGATTACTTTTTAGATGGGAAACTGCTTTTCCTTTTGATGAAAGACCCAAATCTCAGGATGTGCATGTGCAGAAGAAAGGCCGTTTTTAAACGAGGTGGACTGAGCTGTGAGCAGCGATAGCTGATAGGCTTATTGGAACCGGCAGAAGTGCTGAGCACGGTTGTCTGGCTGGTAAATGCGTTACTAAGATCATCAGTCAGCGACCTCATAAGCTTACCTTTTGGAGCAACCCTTGATCTCAAAAGGCTAATATTTGACAACAGAAACCTTCCCCGTTCCTCTTCAGCGGGTCTGAGTCCCCTGGCGCGGTGGAGTGTGTGCGCTGAGCACAGGCGCCTTGGAGGAGGGCTGGCGAGGGGCCGCACTGACTGCTGTTATCGACTGAGCCGTGGGACGTGCAGCTTCTCTCCGCCGCTCACAGGGCGAGGCTCTCTCGGGGTCTGCGTGGGCACACCGGGCGCCTCGGGGAGCCTGTGGCCTTTCTGCAGGGACCAGGTGTCCGGGTGCTGGAGTGGGGGGCTCTGGAACTGTGGGTGTTTGCATGCTTCCGGAGCAGAGGGCGGCAGACGGCACCCCGCTGGCCTCATGGGAGGCGTGTGGGGGGGGGGCGTCTCAGGCTGCCTTCGTGCTCCGATGGCAGGGCTACTGATGGCAGGACTGAGTAGCCGCGACAGACGACAGACGGGGTAGCCCACAAGCCTGGAGTAGCCGCGCTGTGGCCTTTCACAGAAAGTGTGAGAGCCCTGCCCTAGCAGCTCGGCCGAAGGGGCTGCACTGAACTCAGTGGCTGAGACAGTTTAGTCCACGGACTTGTAACAAGTGATATCACACAACAGAACACAAGCTGCATTAGTGTGACAGATAGAACGGCAGGGCCTCAGAACGAGGGCCCGCAGGTGTGGGTGAGCTCTGGGAGGGGGTGTCCTCCTGGAGGCCCTCACCAGGCGTGGACGCAGGCTGCAGTGGATGTGGGCTGCAGTGGATGCGGGCTGCAGTGGACACAGCTGCAGTGGACGCGGGCTGCAGTGGACGCGGCTGCAGTGGACACGGGATGCAGTGGACGCGGGCTGCAGTGGATGCGGCTGCAGTGGACGCGGGCTGCAGTGGATGCGGGCTGCAGTGGACGCGGGCTGCAGTAGATGCGGGCTGCAGTGGACGCGGGCTGCAGTGGACGCAGCTGCAGTGGACGCGGGCTGCAGTGGACGCAGCTGCAGTGGACGCGGGCTGCAGTGGACGGGCTGCAGTGGATGCGGCTGCAGTGGACGCGGGCTGCAGTGGACGCAGCTGCAGTGGACGCGGGCTGCAGTGGACGCGGGCTGCAGTGGACGCAGCTGCAGTGGACGCGGGCTGCAGTGGACGCGGGCTGCAGTGGACGCGGCTGCAGTGGACGCGGGCTGCAGTGGACGCAGCTGCAGTGGACGCGGCTGCGGTGCAGTGCAGAGGCCCCGCCGGAGGCCATGGCCTGCTCGCTGAGGCCGACATCGCCGTGGACATGCCGTCGGCGGGCGTGGGCTCTTGAGAAAAGCGTGAAGTCAGAGCTGGAGGAAGCAGAGAGGTGGCAGGTGATGACCCTTGACCTCTCCGACGTGTGGCTCCTCCCTGACGGCCCATTTCCTGTGTCCCATTTCCTGTGCCCCCACCAGGTGCCATCTCGAGACCCTCGCCCCACAGCGACATGTGTGCAGCGGACCGTGGCGGGATCCCCGGAGGAGGAAGCCGGCTCTGTACGCGGGGGGGGGGGGGGTGGGGGGTGGGGGGGGGAGGAGAGGGGGCAGCGGCTTCCCTCGTCTGAAGGGCTCCCTGAAGCGAGGCAGGATCAGCGCGGCCAGTGAGGGTCGCGATTGGACACAGTTATGTGTCATCCGTGTGCTCTCCATGTCCTGACAGGGAAGCGCGTTCAGACGGGTGGACTGTCCCTCAGCCAGGGGACCGAGCCCGGCAGTGAGGCGCTGAGGGACCAGGTGGGGAAGAGGGTGGGAAAGGAACCGCGGCAGCTTCCTCTCCCGCTCCACCTGGAAACTCCGTCTCCCCCGGAGCGAGGCTGCGGGAGGATAGACAGGAAACGCTCCCGGGCGCCTCCCCAGCGGGCTGTGTGCCCCGCTGTGGGGATCCTGTGGGTCAGCCGGTCACTCGGGCCGGTGACTTGGGCTGGCAGCGGTAAGACCTTGTTCAGGTCTCAAGAGTGAACAGAGAAAACAGATGAGAGCAGCCACGGACACGGAGCAGCCGGCCCGGGCGAGGCCTTGCGACGCCGTCGTGGAGGGGCCGGCGGGTCGGAGCCCGTGGTGTCCTGGGCGGCGGGCTGTTTCCTGAACCTCGCGTGGGGGCTGCTGCCGCGTGAGCGGGTCTGTGGCACCGGCGTGTGCGGTCGGCTGGCACACGGTGCGGTTTCCTCTTTCCAAAGCCAGAGCGGGCTCTGCCCTGTTCTAAGTGTAGCCTAGAGAGGCGGTCGGACGGCCAGTGCTGGGCGCTGTCGAGCCTGGATTGGCGACGGGGACGCGGGAGAGGGCGCCAGCGCGTGGCAGGGCGGCTGGTGGTGGAGGGAAGACAGGCTCTCTCTTTCCTGGCTCTTTTCATCTCTCTCTTTCAATCTTCCCCTTTTAACGCTACTCCTCACCTTCTCTACCTGGCAGCGGGTGCACCTTCCGCCTGGACAGCTGACTGTGGGCCCCTGGTGGCCGCAGACGGGACACGTCCCGAAGCCATGCTCATAGGGCAGCGATTTCCACCCGGGTGCTGAGGGCCTTGGCTCTGTCGTCAGGGGCCCTGACCCCTTTTGCCTGAAATTGTCAAATAAAGAATGACAACAGCCAGTGCAGCAATAGCCCTCTGGTATAAATGAATCAAAGTTACTATTTTTGGGGTCAGATTGGCAAAAAAGAGAATTTATTTTTGGCTGTGCTGCAGAATTTTAGCAGTTTATGTACCATGGGATGAACAAGGTTGAAAATCGCTGTCCTAAGGGAATGCCGGCTTGGGTGCCTCTTTTGGGCTGTTGGAACCATAGATTTTAAGAAAGGTTCTTCCTGCTTTAATCCTGGATTTGTGTTTTGTTCAGTCCTTCAGGTTCCCGCCCTTCGACACCTAAAAGTGATTCCGAGTTGGTCAGCAAGTCGGCGGACAGGACGGCGCAGAAGAGCAACCTGGAGATGCTGTGGCTCTGGGGGGAGCTGCCCCAGGCCGCCAAGGTGAGTGTCCCCCGTTCCGTCCCACAGTGAGCCCGCCCCTAAAAACTAGAGACGGACAGTTTCCCTCCAAGAAACTTTACTTCACAGGCCAATGTATTTTAAGAATCTGGAATTATTATGTTTGCAGCTGTGTGTGTTTTGCAAAAAGGATTTTAAGGCCCTAGGACGATGCCACGGCCTCTCGTATCCCCAGTAAATGTTTGTGACCCGAACGAATGAGCGGGGAGTCAGCGAGGGCTGGGCCTTCCTGTTGAGACACAGGATGGGCAGCTGTGTAGAGAGCAGGCCGCTAGGCTGGCCCTGGTCCATGCCCTCGGTGGGTTATATTTAGCTGTCGTCACGGGAAGTGCTGATTCCGCTGCCTGCAAACTGCTGACCCAGGCAGCGCCTCCCCCCCCCCCCCCACCCTCCCCAAGCCCGCGTCACTGGTTGCTGGGGAGATAGCATGGAAGTGCAGACCCATCGCTTCTGGAAAGCGGGTCCAAGCACAGGCCCCGGAAGCACGTTCCTCTGTGCCGGGAGCCGAGCTCAGACGCAGGGCTGAATGCCCACCCCCCCCCCCACACCCCTCGGCCCCCGCCACTTCTAGTGCACAAATCGCCTTTGGGTTTTGTTTGGAGGAATCTTTTCTGTGACTGGAAACTCCTTGCAACCAGTCACCAAATTGTCACTCATTCACTCACATTTGGGGGTGAACTATACACACACATGGAAATGCCCGGATGGTAAGTGCTCAGGGCCATGCATTTCCCACGGTGAGCGCGGCCATGCGACCTGCACCCAGACCAGGGAGCGGGACCCCTGGGAGTCCCCACCTTTGCAGAGGCTGCTCACGCTGACCCCCCGCAGGGACAGACCAGATCTTGACTCCAGCAGCAGAGGTTGGCCTCGCACGCTCATCGGGCCGTCTGTAACCGTGGCTCAGCTACTCCGGTCCCGGTAGCAGGTAGCCTCCCCAGCGGCCACACTGCCCGTTCTCCTGGCGCCTGGGCTGCCCCCTGCTGGCCATTACTAGCCTCACACTCTTCTGCTCGGCAGTTGGTGTTTTCAGTCACAGTTCCTCTGTGTTGGCACCACTGTTCTTGCTTCTGGGCCCTCTGGCCGGTGCGGAAATGGCCAGGTGACCCCGAGCTGGAGCCCGCTGGGCGTGGACAGTGGGCAGATCCTGACCTGGCCAACTGGGGTTCTTTGTTAACTTTCTGCTTGTGCTCTGACCGCTCCTGCTCCCTCTCCGCCTGCCCTTCCACGCAGTCGCCTACACACAAGATGAAAGACTCCAGCCCGCTGAGCAGCAGGAAGTTCTCGGAGAAGATGCACTTCCAGGCCATCCGCAGCGAGCCTCCCGAAGTGTTTAGCGAGCCGTCGCCGCCGCTGGCCGAGGCGCTGCCTCCGCAGCCGCTTTCCGAGCAGAGCAAGTCTCAGACCGAGATGCAGTTTGTGAATGAGGAGGACGTCGAGGCCTTGGGAGCCGCAGCCCCGCCCCTGCCTGCCACCGAGGAGCCCAAAGCCCTCTCCGCCCTGGCGGCGAGCAAGACGGACTCGCCGTCTAGGAAGAAAGGTGCGGGCAGTGCCGCTTCCGCCCCTTCTGTGCCCGTGGGCGCTGCAAGCTCCGGTCCCGCCTCCAAAGCTCAGAACACGGACCCGTGACGTCTGTCCTGTCCGGTCCCTGCCCTTTTGCCGAATATGTTAGTGAAGAGAATTTAGTCGTAGACAGTGAGACGTGAAGGAGGTCTTGGGGGGTCGTGTGGTGAACCCTCACTTCACAGTCCGGGCCCTTCTGAGCTCCTCTGAACACCGGGCTGGGTTCCCCAGAGGCGCTTGGAGGTCAGAGGTTGGAGGTCAGAGGTCGGGGGTCCCTGGGCGCGGCTCTGACCTGCTCCTTTGCTCCTTTGCAGACAAACGAAGCCGGCACCTCGGGGCGGACGGCGTTTACCTGGACGACCTCACGGACATGGATCCCGAAGTGGCCGCCCTGTATTTTCCCAAAAAGTAAACCTTTTTCTTCCTCGGGCCATGTTCCATGATCTGAATAGGAATCTGTGCGAGTTCACTTTTTCCTCTGGTTTGATTTAAGAGTGAGAAGAGGTGTCCTGACAAAAGCAGCCAGTACAGAGTGGGCTTTCTCTGTAGACGTGGTGGGGTATCTCCACGCGGCTGGCTTCCCGCCGTCGGAGCGGGAAGGAGGCAGGAGGCTGTCTCCCCTGATGATGCAGAGATTGTGTGTGGTGGTCAGTGACCCACTGATGACCCCGAGGTCACGTTGTGGTCAGTGACCCACCGATGACCCCGAGGTCGCGTTGTGGTCAGTGACCCACCGATGACCCCGAGGTCGCGTTGTGGTCAGTGACCCACCGATGACCCCGAGGTCGCGTTGTGGTCAGTGACCCACCGATGAGCCCGGGGTCGCGTTGTGGTCAGTGACCCACCGATGACCCCGAGGTCGCGTTGTGGTCAGTGACCCACCGATGAGCCCGGGGTCGCGTTGTGGTCAGTGACCCACCGATGACCCCGGGGTCGCGTTGTGGTCAGTGACCCACCGATGACCCCGAGGTCGCGTTGTGTGGTCTATGACCCACCGATGACCCCGAGGTCACGTTGTGGTCAGTAACCCACCGATGACCCCGAGGTCGCGTTGTGTGGTCTATGACCCACCGATGACCCCGAGGTCGCGTTGTGGTCAGTAACCCACCGATGACCCCGAGGTCGCATTGTGTGGTCTGTGACCCACCGATGACCCCGAGGTCGCGTTGTGGTGTTCAGTGACCCACAGCCCGATTCCATGGCCAAGGCGGCAGCTGCGTGGCCCTCTCTCCTCACGAGGGTCCGTGGCCCATCCTTAGTTCTCCTGGGGTTTGCAGGGAGGGCCAGGTCCACGGAGGGTGAAGCCCAGAGCTGTGGCCTCTGAGGCGTGTGCTCGATCCCCTGTCTCTCCACGTGGGTTTGGGGGGGTGCAGGGGATGTGGGAGCAGAAGCTGACTGTGCTCTCTGCTCGGAACGCCTTCAGCTGGTCTCTGTTCGGTGCTTTAATGAGAAGTCAGTCCCGGGATGGAGCCGTTTGCTCCGTGGGGGTCTCGGATTGGAGTCCTTTCACGTGTGTGTGAGACCCCAGGCCAGGAGAATCCTCAGAACACCTTCCACTCTTCCTCCTTCCAGCGGGGACCCTTCTGCGCTCCCCAAACATGCCGACAACGGAGCCCGGTCCGCCAACCAGTCCCCGCAGTCCGTGGGCAGCTCTGGGGCCGACAGTGGTGTGGAGAGCACCTCCGACGGCCTGAGGGACCTGCCGTCCATCGCCATCTCCCTCTGCGGCGGCCTCAGCGACAACAGGGAGATCACCAAAGGTACTGGCACCTCGGAGCTGGTCCTCGGGCCCAGAGCGCCCTCTGGTGGCGGCTGCTCAGAACGCCCGGAGGCCTGGCTTCCATTCTTCGTTCCCCTCCTCTGCATTTGGTGAACAGCAGCACATGTGACTCACTGTTGCTCACGACTCACGTGCTGCTGGCTCGCCCTTGGCGACCTTGGCTTGCCCCCGGCGACCTTGGGTTCTGGTGTTCACACGTGGCTTCAGGCAGCAGCCAGGCCACCGGGGTCGCTTGTTGTCAGGTGCGTCTGCTGAGCCTGCCGTGTGTCCTTGCCCCGTGCCAGTCCTGCGAGGCCTAGGGCCTGCAGCCCCGTGGGGGAGGCAGTGTTAGGGACACCGTGCACTGGAGGGGTGGGGGCAGCAACGCTGTGGGTGGAGGAGGGGCCCAGCTGGAGCTGAAAGGTGCTCCCAGGTTGGCATAGGGGGTGAATGGATTCATGGCGTCCATCAGAGTCATAAAGCGATGTCCCAGTCCCCGCAGTTACACGGTGAGGTGGCCCAGGATCCCAGCCGGTGCAGCCCATTCCCCCTGACATTCCCCGAGGAGACCTGGGGACTCACTTCCACCCCCCCCCGCCCCCCGTGGTCTGAATTGCTCGCAGGGAAGGGGGTGGGCCCTGCACTTCTCCCGCTGTCTCTCATGAGCCTCCTTCCTGCCCCGAGATGCCATCCTAGACCCTGTCTCCTGAGGTCCCTTCACGCTTGGTGGATTGCTTCCCACCAGAGACTGGGGCCCCTTATTCTGCCCTTATTCTGGCACCTGACCCCCCTGATCCATCACCCCAGTGATGAACTGAAGGTCGCCTCTTGACCTGGGGCTCCCTGCCAGCTCTGAGCGTGTGAGGCTGGGTGTGCGGCTGGGCCTCACGCGGTCCCCTGCCCTTCCTGGGGGTGACGGTGGTCAGCACCCCGCCCACTGGCATTGAGCAAGCCCTTCTGTGAGGCAGGACACTGCCTTCCGCTCTCGCCCCCACCTGTCCTCACAGTCCCCGTGGCAGGCGAGGGAGCTGAGGCTTGGGGAGATGATGCGCTTGTCCAGTGTCACAGCAACGCCTGTCACTTAGACCCGCTTCCCCAGGTGTGTGTGCAGACTGTCTTCCCACCCCTGCCCCGCAAGCGTAGGAGCCCCCCGAGGGGACGTTTCCCCACATCCTCCGTCCGCCCGGCCTCCCTTCGCTCTGCACAGACGCTGCCCCCAGGCAAGGTGAAGGTCCTGCCCTTACAGGTGCCCGCGAGGACTTCCCGCACGGGGCACGCACAGGGGAATGTGTAAACTCAGGAAGCTCAGTGAAATCGGCCTGTTCTCTGAACCAGATTGTCCTTACCTCTCCCTCCCCTGCCATTGCTTCCCAGACGCGTTTTTGGAACAAGCCGTGTCGTATCAACAGTTTGTGGACAACCCCGCCCTCATCGACGACCCCAACCTGGTGGTAAAGATCGGGAACAAGTACGTTTCTCCCGCGTTGTCTCGGCGGTGGCAGTTGCCCGTTTGGTGTCAGCTTTCCAGACGGAGACCTGGACGGGGAGCCGCGGGCACTGTTCTCGACGTGCATTGTTTGCTATGAGTCTGTGTCCAGCTGTGACTGTCAGCACGCTGTGACAGTGGCTGGCGCTCTGTGGCTGGTGGGCTGATGGAATCGTGTGTCTTATGGGTCACCTGCACCGGATTTTATATGGAACGTGTACAGTCCCGGGCCTGGGGGACTTGGCCTGAGGGGCCCGCGGGGGTGACGGAACGGACAGCGTGTCCCCCCTGGAGAGCCGGTCTGAGTCGGGCGGGCAGGTGTTCCGTAGACGCTGCCGGACTCCCGGAGGGAGGCGTGGATGTTTGCATGTTAAGTGAGGGGCTCTGGTTGCCTTTTCCTGAAGCCGGGCCGGCGATGCCACAGGCTCTGCTGCCGGGACAGCCGCTCGCCCGCAGTGCGGCCACTGCAGAGGGGACATGAGGGGAGGCTCTTCACGGACCCAGCTGGAGTTCCAGAACTTTCCACAGCCACGCCTCATGACATTGGCTTTTCGGTCTGGCCTTGGGTCTTTTAAAAGTTTTTTTTTTTTTTTAAATTATATATATTTTTATTGATTTCAGTGCAGAAGGGAGAGGGAGAGATAAAAACATGAATGATGAGAGAGAATCATGGATCGGCTGCCTCCTGCACGCCCCACACTGGGGATGGAGCCTGCAGTCGGGCAGGTGCCCTGACCAGGAATCTGTCTGTGAGCTCCTGCTTCATAGGTGGATGCTCAACCACTGAGCACGCCGGCCGGCAGGCCTCGGTCCTTTGACGCTTCTTTCGTTGTTTCCTATAGGTATTATAACTGGACCACGGCAGCCCCTCTGCTGCTGGCAATGCAGGCTTTCCAGAAACCTCTGCCAAAGGTGAGCTTGAACCCGAGAAAGACAGGGACACCAGAAACATGGGCGGTTGGAATTTAGATTTTATTTTTAAAACCACAAAGTTAATTACGTTGGGCTCTTTCAAAGTTCCCAAGCATCAGGGTCAGGAGTTCGAATCTGCTTCTCTTGCCCCTCAGAGGCCACGGCTTCCCTTGCACCCTCTGTGCCCTTAGCAGGTGCTCGTCTGCTTCGGTGTCAGAGAATCCTGCTGCCTGGGCCCCCCAGGTCTCATCTGACCTTGGAGAGTGTGCGCTCGCTCCTTCCTTGTGTGCGAGAGTGCGTGTGAGTGTGTATGCGAGTGTGAATGTGTGTGTGAGAGTGTGAGTGTGTGTGAGTGTTACAGTGTGTGTGAGTGTATGTGTGAGTGTGTATGTGTGTGTGTGCGCGAGTGTGAATGTGTGTGTGAGAGTGTGAGTGTGTGTGAGTGTTACAGTGTGTGTGAGTGTATGTGTGAGTGTGTGTGTGCGAGTGTGTGTGAGTGTGTGAGTGTGTGACTGTGAGTGAGTGTGTGTATGTATGTGTTTGATGAGTCTGCTTGTTTGTGAGTGTGCGCGCGTGCGAGTGTGTGTGTGCACACGAGTGTGTCTGAGTGTGAGAGTGTGAGTGTGTATGTATGAGTGTGTTTGATGAGTCTATGCTCGCTCCTTGTGTGTGTGTTTATATGAGTATGTGTGTGTGTGAGTGAGTGTGAGAGTGTGAGTGTCTGGTAAGTCCATGCTCGCTCCTTCCTTGCGTGTGTGTGTGTGTGTGAGATTGTGTTTTGAGTTTTGGGGATTGTGACCTAACTTTGGGGGACTTTATCTGTGAGCATTCTTCGTGCCCTGGGCGGAGGGCTTGCTTTCCTGGGTGGTTTCGTTTTGTCTTACCTGGTTCCTCACAGTGTCCGTGGCCCTGGACGCATGTTTATGTTACACACTTCAGCGCTTACAATTCAGTAAGCGAAAAGATGAGCGCCATGGAAACGCTGCTAAAGGATTTAGTTTACAGACCAGGAAATGCACACGGCTTCTGAACGGGAAGAAATGCGTCTCTGTGACGCGCACCCTCAGTCTGTTTACAGTGTCAGCGGCCCTGACCGTCTTGTGGCGTTTATCTAACTAGGGTTGTTCTTATGTGCAGAGCCTGCCAGCCTTCTGCAGCTCTCGGGTTTGTGTCCTGTTCGGAATGGCCCTGCTTGCCCGTTTCCAAAGCCTGTGGAAATGTGCCCGTCTCTTCTTCTAGTACTTTCTTCAGTCTTCGATCCATCGAGATTTTATTTGGAGAGTGATGGGTGAGGCAGCAGGAACCGAGCCACTTTCTCCAGCTGGTTATTGCGCTGGGAGGCGTTGGTGGCAGGGACCAGGGGCGACGAGTGGCTTAAGTTACAGGGCTTTCCATCGCACATAGTAAGACTCTCAGCGGCTGGTGGTCCCGGGCTTGACGATCTGGGTTAGCTTCTCTGGGATTTTCTTGGCTTTCCCTTCAGTTTCACGAGGTGACGGTTTTACGTGTCACCTTATGCAGCCACATCCAAAGTAGGAGGGCTAGAGGCAGACCTCTCCCATTTCATTGGCCACTCGGTCACATGCTCACCTTCCAGTCAGCTGCTGGCAAGACAGCGATGACTGTGAGTGGTGCAGACCAGTTGAGGTTCGTTTTCTGGATTGGAGGCTGCCTTCCCGAGCGGATCGCAGCCTGATCCTCGAACAGAGTTTAGGGCGTGTGGGCAGGAAAGTCAGAAAGGGGGTGATGCCCCCACGGAGGCAGCTGGCAGGGTTGGCACAGCTGCCCGGTGACTCCGGAACCTTTCATTCGATGCCTCTTGCCCCGCGACAGGCAGTTACAACTTTACCATCTAGTGCACTTCTCTGTGACTTTACATTTATTTCGGAACGTTGTCTTTTGCCCTTTAATAGGTTTATTCATGTACCAACTGCCTTTTGAAAAGTCACTGTGGTTTTAAATACACTTTACTATTGAGCAAGGCTGTGTCTTCTTACTACCCTCCCGAGAATGGCCTTGGCTATTTCTGTGTGTTTTCCCAGCGAACTTGGGAATCCGCCTGTCTAGGTCTGACAGGAGTCCTGTTCGGCGTTTTTCATTGGGGTCTGACCTTGACGGGCGCATTAGGAGGGGCAGGTCCTCCACCTCTTTACGGGGCGGGGGGCTGTTCGTGAAGCGGGGTCCGTGCGGTTTGCAGGTTGTGGGTTTTTGTGTGTTCAGGTTTTTCTATGTGTCGGGTGGGAGTGTTTTAAATGATAAAAAAAAAGCACACTTCCGGCCAAATACGTGAATTGCTTATCTTTCCACTTCCTGCAACCTGTTTGGTTGAAAGACCAAATCCTTCTTTCATTCCTCGCTGACGGCAGCTACCTGGAACAGTTCTATAAGCTGGGGAAGGGAAATGAGATAGCAATGACCTGGGGACTGGAATTAGCCTCAGGGAGATATTTTGTTCTTTGGAAAGACTTAGAAAACTGTTAGTTATTATGGAATCTCCCCCCATCAAACTTCCATGTCTTTAGGGTCAGCGTGTGATTTTTTTTTAACACTTGAGATTTTCAGTGCTAATGTTCAGTTTGTCGAAATGTACATTCACTAACACCATCCCGCGCCTTTTACCCCATGCTATTAACATGCCCGTAGGAATCACTTCATTTCTTCATTTTATAATGATCACAGCGAGAGTAACAGTACCTTAACCAGCGAGCCACTGTAATTTGAAAACTTGCGGTCTGACTAATCACTAATGATTCTCAACGCTTTCTCTCTTTTTTTTTTGTTGTGTTGCATCTTTTCGTTGTTCGTTTATTCCTTTGGCACCTTCTTAAGTCTTCATGCCTAAGTTACCTTCACGCGATTTTGGACGCCATTAGGTTTTGCTTCTCGAAAATTTTTAATTCACACGTCGTATGTTGCGTTTCCTCGTTTGTTTGAACCTCACTTCAGTTCGCATGTGTCTTTTGGTTTGACTGTGCTGAGTTGACCTTCTTTTGGTTCCGTTATTTATGTTGCCGTCCATTTAAAACAGGCCACGGTGGAAGCCATCATGAGGGATAAGATGCCCAGGAAGGGAGGAAGATGGTGGTTTTCGTGGCGGGGAAGAGGTACCACGATCAAGGAGGTAAGCGTGGAGCGCCAGGGAGCGTCTGGGCGTAGCTCAGTGCGTTTCGGAGTTTCTCAGGGTCTTCCTCCACCGGCATCCGCAGAAGCCGGAACACGGAGCTTTCAGGAGCCCGCTCCGCCCCGGGGTGGGAGGGCATCACGGAGCGAGCGGAAGCTGGAGGAGAAGGGCCCGAGGGGAGGGGGGCCGAGGAGAGAGCTGGCCTCACCTCCTCGCTCTGCTGCCTCTTAGCTCGGAGACCCTGGTCCAGTCACACTTTGTAAAAAAGTATTTTATTGATTTCAGAGAGGGAGGGAGAGGGAGAGAGAGATAGGAACATCAGTGAGAATCATTGGTGGGCTGCCTCCTGCACACCGCCCCCCGGGGATCAAGCCCACACCTGGGGCATGTGCCCTGACCGGGATTTGAATCATGACCTCCTGGTTCGTAGGTTGACGCTCAACCACTGAGCCATACCAGCGGGGCTGGTCCAGTCACTCTTCATCTGTAAAAAGAAGGGATTCAACCTGATGGTGAACCTTTTTTCAGGTTAAATATTTTCCTCTGCGTGTGAGCATCGTTTCAGTGAGGTATCCTCACGGCTGTAGGCTAATCACCATCAGCCCGTACTTTAGTGGTGTGTCGGGGTACAGGTGGCTTTGCTTTCTATCGCTGTAAATGCCTGTCCCTGTTTTCAGACCTTTGTCTGCCTCCCAGCCTGTCCTCCCACCATTCTCTCTGCTCCCATGCCACGTGTACCCCGGCTTTCCCCTTGGGCTCAGCGCCCCCACGAGGGTTCTCTAGGGTGGTCTTGGGGTCCCCTCTCCCGCTTCGATTGCCTGCTTCTCCCTGAGCAGCCTCACCCACGCCCCTGTGAGGACCCCGTTTCATTTCCAGACCAGACATTCTTTTATATTCGATGCCCATTTAGCAAGTGGCCAACTAGGCAGACATCTCCATGCGATTGCTTCAGGACGCCTCAGGCCTGTCGTTTTTAATGCTGAGCTCACAATTTTCCTGCCAGTTTCTTCGCTGGACCATATTCAGAAAGGGGGTCGCTGCTCACCCACAGGCTCGACGCTCCCCTTTCCTCACTCTCACTCCGTCCCTCGCCAGGACCACCACTCACCGTCCTAAGTATTTCCCAGATTTTCCAGTTCTCTCCACCTTCACTCCCACACATGGAGGCGGCGTGATCTCTCCCAGGATCGCTCCCAGATGCACTGCCTGGGTCTGTTGTTGCCCCCTCTCCATCCTTCACACTGCAATCACAGTGTTCTCTTCGGGAGACTGGTCCAGTTCATGCTGCTCCCGCCTTAGAGCCTTCTGGTGGGTTCCCAGGGTTCTTCTAATTAAGACCCCCGTCCTTAACATGGTCACAAGATTTGGGTGCCCTAGTCCCTGCTCCCTCTTTAGCCTCATCTTTTGCATTCTCTCCCTTGTCCTCTGGGCTTAAGCGTCACTGGCTGAAAGCACATTCTACCCCAGGACCTTTGCACGTGGTATTTCCTCTGCCTAGTGCTCTTAGGACCCTTCTCGTTCCTCTTCACTGAATTAGCTGGCAGATTAGTCTGCTCTGCCCTTCGCTGCTCTCAGAGCCAGGCCTGTGAACTTTTCCTTCATTCATGACTTTGTCAGGGTTTGTAATTATACACATATTAGTGTGGGTATTGGATGAACACCTTTTCCCCTCTAGGCCCCTACCCCCAGGGTGGCCGAGACCATGTGCCTTTGATTCTGGGTGTCCCCGGTGTCCACATGGGACCCAGAGCGGGGGTCGGGCAGATACTCGTTGGGGGAATGCTGATTGCTTTTGGAAGACACCCCAAGGACAGCGGCCCGGCTGGTGGTTAGAAGAGTAAAAGCACCCTCAGTGAGTTCAAGTTCTGTGCCCCATTAGTTCAAAGGGAGGAAGTGTTGGGAGGACCTTATGGAGATAAAGTTGTTCTCCGCCGTCTCCTGCTCGCAGACCTGAGCTCACTGACTGTTCCACTATTCCCAGGGCACCTAACCAGGTTAGAACAAACACGTGCTTTACCTCAGGAGACAGAAGCCTGGGGGCCTCTCTGGGTCCCTACAGGAGGGCAGGCTGTTGGAGGATTTAGGCAGACGGCTACTTCAGAAACCTGTTTATTGTAGAGTATCCGGTTTCTCACCAGTTTGGGTTGAGGGGAGTGCCAGCATGAAATAAGGAACAGTTATGACATTAAATATTTCTAAAATAAATGTGCTTATTTCAGATCGATAGCTATTTAGGAACCAGACTAACAAAGGATCGTTAATACTGAGTTACCTGCCTCAACAAATAGATGAGAAATTACCGGGCATGTTATCACACCGATTATTTGTGTGCCTAGAAAAAGCTAAAGAATGTTTCAAAGTACTTAGAACTCATCCTAGGTTGAGATGCTCACCTGCTGTTATATTTTTTATATCTGATATTTTTTAAATATTAAAAATTAACCTACCCCCTGAGCAGATGACCACAAATGAGACTGAATTGACACTCACTTCTGTTCTCAGCTTCATTGTGTACCTACGTGCAGAGGGCTCGCAGGGCCCTGCCTGCCCGGGACAGTGCCGTGGGGGAAGGCTCTGGGCCCTGGCCTGGGCTTAGGGGTGCTCATCGGGGCCCCCCGCCCTGTTCTGGTGCTTCTCTTTGGTGCACCCTGATCTCCTTTCTTCTCCAGGAAAGTAAGCCGGAGCAGGGCCTGGCTGGCGAGAGCCACAGCACCGGGGAGCAGCCGCCGCCGCTCAGCATGGCCACCAGGTACTGTGCCAGGAGGCTTGGGTGGCAGCGCCTTTCTGGTTCCAGGGCCAGGGCACAGGCCCGGTGGGTGCTGCTGGCACAGTGCTCGCCGAGCAGCACGGCCTTCGACCCGGTGGACCCGGTGGACCCGGTGGCGGGCCTGGGTTCCACCGGCTGTCGTTTGTTGAGGGACGTGGAGCAATGTGCTAGGCTTCCCGCCAATCAGACGGAGACGGCCGCTCCCTTAGATACTGATTTCCAGACTCAGCGTCAGGCCGACGTGGTGGAATGTAACCAGCGCTCGCGGTCCTGGCCGCGAGAGCAGCGGTGACACTGGTGGCGGTGGTGATGGCCGACAGGGTCCCTTTCCTCCCGAGGACGCGGCCTTCCTCTGTGGTCCCCGCGCCAGGACTTAGGCTGCTGCCTTTCTGCGTGGTGATGGGGGTCCCTGTGAGCCTGGCATCGGAGGCGTGAGATGTTGGTCACGCCGGCCAGCGTTAGCTGAGTTTCGTCTTCGAGTTGATCTGTCTGCGGGATCCGGGGTGGCTCTGCTCCGCGGTCAGTGCCATCGCCGCTCTCGCTGCGGCTGCTGCGATGGACGCTGAGAGCGGGCCCCACACCCCCTGCCCTCGCCTGGCCTGGCCGTGCTCCCGGCGTAGGCAGCGGGATGGCGCTTCTTACTACTCAGCGGGCAGGAACGCTCACAGTTAGTTAACTGAAGGCAAGATGCGCATCCTAATCCTGATCATTTTTGTGCCTGGGAGGCCCCCCTCCCCCCGGTGCTGACATGTGGCGGGCTCTTCATCGAGGTGGTTGGCCATCACTGAGCTGATGCGATGCCCCCAGGATGTTGTTGCTTCGAGGAGAGGTGGGCTCAGAGTTCAAGTCCTCAGCCTCCCTCCTGGCCAAGGCTGTCTCCCAAACTGTCGCATTTCGAAGTTCACTGTGGGGAATAGAAACGCGGGCAGGGGGCAAGCAGGAAACGGCCTGGCTTCGCCTCTGCTCTCTGTGGGGCCTGATAACACTGTGTTTGAAGGTGATGCGCTTTATGTGAGCCATTTAAAGAAGAGGCCCCTGCTCCCCCTGCACCTCCCAGCCCCAGAGGGGGCATCCGGAGGAGCAGGAGCCTCTCGTGGGTTCTGTGCAGCCCCCCGCCAGGCACCTTGCTCCCGGGACGGCCCGCTCGGGGACTCCGGGAGGGGCGAGTCCTCCGTCTTCACTGGCACCACTGGGGGGTCCCGGGGTCCCTAGTTACTTGACATTGTGGGTGTGGAGAGGAGACCCAGGGAGCTCATCAGTGGACGGGTAGAAATTCAGACTCCAGGCGCCTGTCCGGCGGCCTCGGTGGGGTGGGGGAGGGGAGGGAGCGGGGAATGTGCGCGTCCTTCCAGGCAAGGGGCCCCGACCCTGCTTCTCGGGGAGAGGGCCTCTGGGTGCCTCGTGGAGCGATGGTCGCTGGTGACAGGTCGTGGCTGGGAGAGCAGCCCCTTGAGTGCGAGAGTGTGCGGAGGGGTTTAGTGGGCTCGTGGGTACCCGCAGTGGCCTCTGGTGAGTGGCCACGCGAGGCAGCGCTCAGGGGAGACCCCGAGCCCGCCATGGGTTCCGGCCGAAAGCGGTTTTCATGGCCACCCAGATGCATGTCCTCATTGGTGATGACATCACTGTGTTCTAGAATGAAGCAGGAGTCGTCCTCTAGCGATGAGGAGCACTCAGCCGCCAGGCCGTCCAGCGCCCCCCTGCTGCCCCTGCTGTCCAATGTCGGCTACAAGAAGACCCTGCGGCTCACGTCGGAGCAGCTGGTGAGCGGCTCCGTCCTCCCTGGTCTGTGTGTGACCCTGGCCCGCGCGGGGCCCTGGTCTGTGTGTGACCCTGGCCTGCGCGTGGCCCTGGTCTGTGTGTGACCCTGGTCTGCGCGTGGCCCTGGTCTTTGTGTGGCCCTGGCCTGCGCGTGGCCCTGGCCTGCGCGTGGCCCTGGCCTGCGCGTGGCCCTGGCCTGCGCGTGACCCTGGCCTGCGCGGGGCCCTGGCCTGCGCGGGGCCCTGGCCTGCGCGGGGCCCTGGCCTGCGCGTGGCCCTGGCCTGCGCGTGGCCCTGGCCTGCGCGTGGCCCTGGTCTGCGCGTGGCCCTGGCCTGCGCGTGGCCCTGGCCCGGTGGCGAGCCCAGCCGAGGCACGGCCACTCAGACTCGCACGCGATGGTCTGGGCGTCCCTCCGCTCAGGCTCCCACTGCTTCCTGGCGCCCTGGCCTCCCAGAGCACCCGCTGCCCTTTTGGGATCCTGTGTCTCTGCTCCGATGTGCATGGTCCCGGCCGGCTCCTCAGAGTCGCCTCCCCTCGCCTGCTCCGACGCAGCCCCGGACACTCCTGTTTCACGTGTGGGAGGGGGTGCAGCGAATTCACCCTGAGGTGTGGGTGACGGACAGGCCAGGCCAGGTGTTCGGCGTTTCCGCTGTGAGAGACGCGCGTTCCTCCCCAGGGCCCGGAGGGAGCCTCCCGCCTGAGCAGGACGGAGCGAGCCCTGCTCAGGGCCCCGGGCACAGAGTCAGAGGCCCTTTATGTACATGTGCCACCGCCTTCTTACCACTCATCTGCTGGTTGGTACAGTCACACCACGGAATCCCACGCAGCAGTGAACAAGACGGATCCCTGACCCCGTGAGACGCAGGGGCGGCCTGGAGAGCATCGTGCTGAGCGAAATAAGCCAGTCAGAGGAAGACCAGTGTCACATGATCTCACTCATCTGTGGAGTCTAATGAATAGGATAAACTGAGGGACAAAGTAGATCCAGAGGCATGGACGCCTGGGACAGACGGACCAATCTCAGAGGGAAGGGGGGCGGGGGAGATTAACCAAAGATCTTATTTGCACATATGCACAACCCATGGGCAGACAATAGTGCGGGCAGGCCGGGGGAGGGGGCAGGAGTGGGGAGGAGGGGTAAATGGGGAAAGAAAAGGGGGCATCTGTAACACTTTCAGCAACGAAGATAATAAAAAAATTCACCTCTTTTCCAAATAAACCCCAAAACTCTTAACCCCGCTTCTCGTGAAACGAGCCAGCAGCCCCCGCCCAGGCCTCCCCTCAGGAGGACGCGTTGTGTCTTCCAGAAAAGCCTGAAGCTGAAGAATGGCCCCAACGACGTGGTGTTCAGCGTCACCACCCAGTACCAAGGCACCTGCCGCTGCGAGGGCACCATCTACCTGTGGAACTGGGACGATAAGGTGATCATCTCCGACATCGACGGCACCATCACCAGGTGGGTCCGGCCGACCGTCACTGTGACCCCTGGGCTGCGCCAGCCCCTCCGTCCTCTGCCTGTGGCATCGGGGGCCCGTCCCGCCCGGTGTCTGTGCAGGGGCTGCTCGGGGGTCCCCGCCGCCTGGGCCCAGCAGCTCCTGTAGGGCTCGCTGGCCGTGCCCGCCGGGGGGTGGCACCTCACCTGTTGCCACGGACGGGGCTGAAGAGCCTGCTCAGTGGCCTCTTCTCGCCGGTTACGGTCCAGGCCCTGATCCTCGCTCAGGCGGGCGGGGCCCTTCACGTATTGGCATGGCCCCTTCGCGTATTGGCATGGCCCCTTCCCGTATTGGCATGGCCCCTTCCCGTATTGGCATGGCCCCTTCCCGTATTGGCATGGCCCCTTCCCGTATTGGCATGGCCCCTTCGCGTATTGGCATGGCCCCTTCCCATATTGGCATGGGCCCTTCCCGTATTGGCATGGCCCCTTCGCGTATTGGCATGGCCCCTTCCCGTATTGGCATGGCCCCTTCCCATGAGTGTCTCCTGGGATTCGTGTTGGTCTGTGCCTCCTGGGCCCCCGGCCAGACCGTGTGGGTCCTGTTGGCAGTTTCATGAGGCGTTCCTGGTGCCGTGAGTTGGAACGGAAGTGTTCTCTCTTTTGCGACGCCCTCTTTGCTGTTTTCTCATTTCTCTCCTTCCGCAGGTCAGACACTCTGGGCCACATTTTGCCCACCTTGGGGAAGGACTGGACCCACCAGGGCATCGCGAAGCTGTACCACAAAGTGAGCCAGTAAGTACAGAGCGGGCCCCCCGCCCCCCGACTCCCGCGCACGGAGCACGGGATGCTGACGGTGGGTGACTGGCCGAGGGGCGTGCCTCCACCTGGGCGTCAGCGGGGGTGGCGGAGGGAACCCCGAGGTCAGTACCCAGACAAGCAAGGAGGCGATTCGTGAGCCCAGACAGCCCGCGTTCCTTCACTGCCCAGCGGTCACTGGGTGCCTGTGGCGTGCGGGCCCTGGGATGGGCTGGGGGACGATGAGGTAGGCACGGTCTCTGCCTCCCGGACCCCGTGCGACTCGCTCGTGCGTGAGTGAGTCCAGGCCATTTCTTTGGATGTCACATTCGTGGTCACCCAGAGATGCTTAGAGGGCGGGTTCGCAGCCGCAGACCCAGGAGGAGCTGCCGCTGGAGTTAGGACTGGCTGTTCCTCTTCCCTGGCACTGCTGACCTTGAATGGGGTCTCTCTTAAATGTGAGGCGCTGCAGGCAGGCTAAGGGAACCCGGCCTGGGAGGTCGCCGCTGGCCCAGAGACGCAGAACGCCCGGCAGTTCTCCTTGTTTATTTTTTGCTGAACGTAATGACTTGTCTGATGTGGTCAGCCCGTGAGGAATGTGCTGTAGGCTCATTACACCTGGCTCACAGAGGGTATTGATTGCAAAAGCTTGCTTGGTTATTGATTAAAAAGAACTGCAGCAGGTACAAAGGGAAGGCACGTGAAACTCTCACACTCAAATACGTTCAATAGAAGGATGTTTCCTAAAATACCTAGGCCGCTGAGAGAGCGGGTGCTTTGAGGCCACATTTGGACGAGAATTGTCTGAGTTTCTGCCTTATTCGGTGTAAATTTTTTATTCCTGTCACCGGAAGTCAGCGTCTGAGAGTTAGCAGGAGTGAGTGTCACCGTGTTCTCAGATGGACGAGCCCGTCGGGGCCTCAGGTGGGAGCCCTCTGCAGCCGGGACACTGAGAAGGGGAACTGACTGTTCCCAGGCTGTCGCTCCCCTCCCCTCGGGCCTCATGGGTTCCTGCGGTCACCACCCCACCAGTGAGGCAGGGGCCTGTGACCGGGAGGAGTCGGGGCCCCTGGGTTCCGGGGTGACAGCGCAGCTCGCTGTGGACACTTGGACCTCATCCTCATTCCCAGCTTGTGATCTCATCTCTGAAACGAGGACATAGGCTGGGCGACCCTGAGGTCACTGCGAGCCCAGACTGACCTGCCGCCGGGCTGTGCGGCTGCGGGCAGTGCATGTGTGGGCAGCTGGGCGTGGCTTGCCCAGCCACACGTGGGTCAGAACCCCGAGCATTTACTAGTAGCTGAGGTCGCCAGCCGGCACCAGCCGCTGTGCCCGGAGCTGTCCTAGGTGCGGGCGCCTCGCCCCTCAGGGAGCCATGACCTTGTCAGAACAGGCAGCGGGGCCCCGCACAGGTCACGGGAGGTGTGGTGAGCAATGCAGAGCTCACAGACATCCAGGCGCAGACGGTAACTCTGTCCGAGGGATGCGGGATCGAAGGCGCTTCAGTGGGTGCCCTGAGCTGAGCCTGAGGGGAGGGCAGGTTTGAGAGGACAGCTCGTCCCAGGTGAGAGGAGGCGGAGATGGGAGCAGGTGGAGGGGGTCAGGGAAGGCCTGCTCCTGGGGGGCGGGGGTGTCAGTGAACCGGGAGGGTCACCGGGCACCAGGTCGCAGAGGCCTGACGCCGCTTTCGGGGGAGAGTGTCCCTGCCGCCCACAGGCGTGTCCGGAGCCGGTTCCGCTGTGTTGGCAATGGCCCCGGAAGCAGAACACTGTGTGGCGAGATCAAACCATGAAATGCATTTGAAAAGCTCGTTTCGGATAAAATCAGCATCTCAGACCCTGCAGGTGGCAGCTTGTAGGACTTTGATGTGAAGAGCTATATACAGAAAGTGATTGTTTTTTTAAAAAGGGTCTGCATTCATCAGGCAGCTAAAATGCAAAGATGTTTCATTGTAAAGTTGCTGGATGTGCCAGACAAGCCGATGCTCCTAGATTCCCGTTGTCTCACAGCGTCCTGCGTCTTGTTTTAAAGGACACGTTAAACCATCTGAGACCAGCCCTCCAGCCTGGGGACAGGAGGTGTGGGAAGTGGTGGTTTGTCTTTGCTCATCCACAGGTTTTTAAAAAAAAACATATTTTTATTGATTTCAGAGAGGAAGGGAGAGGGAGAGAGAGAGAGAAACATCAACGATGAGAGAGAATCATTGATCGGCTGCCTCCTGCACGCCCCCGACTGGGGATCGAGCCCGCAACCAGGGCATGTGCCCTTGACCAGAATCAAACCTGGGGTCTTTCTGTCCACTTTCTGGCCGTTGCTCTGTCCACTGGGCCAAACCAGCTAGGGCTCCTCCACAAATATTTACTGAGCGTCTATGACAGGGGTCCTCAAACTATGGCCCGCGGGCCACGTGCAAATATAAATATTGTATTTGTTCCTGTTTTGTTTTTTTACTTCAGAGTAAGATATGGGCAGTGTGCATAGGAATTTGTTCATAGTTTTTTTTTAAACTATAGTCCGGCCCTCCAACGGTCTGAGGGACAGTGAACTGGCCCCCTGTTTAGAAAGTTTGAGGACCCCTGGTCTACGACATGCCAGGCAGTGTTCTGGGCCCGGGGTGGCAGCCAGGAACGCGCCACAGTCCCACCCTCAGGGAGCGTCAGTGCCAGTGACATGGGGCCAGCAGAGCGAGGCTTAGTGCCCGGTGAGGGAGGGTGTGTGTGTGTTTTATTAGATAGAGGGACAGGGCAGGGCCTCTGAGCAGAGACCTAGATGGGGGGGGTGGGGGGGGGGGGAGGGAACAAGAAAGCCTGGCAGATGCGGGAACAGTGTCCCAGCAGCAGGGTCTGCAGGCGCTGGGTCCAGCGCAGGAGCGAGTGCGGTGGGCGGGCGGGAGGAGCGGAGCGCACGCCTGTTGGTGAGCCAGGAGCCGGCGGGATTGCAGAGAAGGCCAGGGCCCGGGTCTCGGCCTCGTAGGTCATGGCAGACACTCGGGGGATGTTTGGGAGAGATGGCAAGGTTTGGGAGGGCTTGGAGCGAGGTCGGGTTAAATGTTAAGTTTTAAGTGTTCTGTGTGGAGACTTGGCGAAGGGCAGGAGATGGGTGGGGCGGTGGCAGGAGGGCGGGTCAGGGCCCCCACAAGGCTGCCCCCACTTCAGACGCTGCTCTGTCAGAGGCGACCTTGCGGGGCCTGGGCAGGGGAACGGGAGAGCCGCGTGGGCCAGGTGGGCTCAGGCGCACAGCTCTGAGCGAACTGTCTAGAAGGGGAGCAGAGGTGGGCGTCCGCCGGGAGGCGGACCGGAGAAGGGGCTTTGGTGGTGGTTCCGCTTGGCTGGCTTTAGGCGGAGATGAAAGAGGTCAGAGTGCATGGAGGTGCCGACAGGACTTACCCAGGGGAGAGGGCTGGGCTCGGAGCTGGCGTCAGGCCTGTGGAGGGGCAGGTGACAGCGGGGCCGTCACCGAGGAGCCGGGGCCAGGGCAGGACCCGCGCAGGTGCAGGCAGGCTGGGCAGTTCGGTGCCGCGGCCTCAGGGTCCGTGGGGTGAAGCAGGGGAAACACACCCACTGACTGATGTCCCCTGAGGCTCTCAGGAAGTGGGGCGGTGGACGCCTCAGCACATGGCGGTGGAGTGGCCCATGGTCAGGCGGTGGACCGTGGCCGCCCGCGCCTGCGGAGCTCGCCTGCTCCATGGCGCGTGGGGCGGGCGGACAGGGTGGAGGACGGGGTGGAGTGCAGGCGGACGGACGGGCGGGCGGGGTGGAGGGCGGGCGGACGGACAGGCGGACGGGGTCAAGTGCAGCGCGCCCCCGTGCAGTGGCTCAGCGCGCCGGTCTCTTTCAGGAACGGGTACAAGTTCCTGTACTGCTCCGCGCGGGCCATCGGCATGGCGGACATGACGCGGGGCTACCTGCACTGGGTCAACGAGAGGGGCACCGTGCTGCCCCAGGGGCCCCTGCTGCTGTCCCCCAGCAGCCTCTTCTCCGCCCTGCACAGGTAGGCGCTCCCCACCGCCGGCCCGGGCGGCCCTCTCCCCTCCCTGAGGGTCGGCAGGAACAGCCTCCTAACGCTCTTCCCAGCCACCTGCCCGCTCCATTGTGGGCACCGGAAAAGTCACCCCCAAATGCAGGCGGGCCTGCCCGCTCCCTTCCTGGTCACCAGGGCTCTGCGGACAGGGGACGGGCCGATTCCTGGGCTCAGTGTCATGTGACGGTCCGTGACCTGCCGCCTCCTCTCCCGTGTCTCCACTTGGCAGAGGGATGCTCTCCCCTTTTGTGGGGGGCTGCCCCTCCCGCTCCCTCCCCCCTTTCCCTCCCCACATTGTCCCTCCAAGTCTTCGAGAATCAACTTGCGGTCCATCTCATCAGAGACCTAGGCCGGGTTCCATGGCCCTTGTCCCAGATGCCACCGCTCACCTGGCCCCGTCTCCCATTTTCATCCTCTGGGGAGTTCCGGTCACTTCATTCTAGTGGACCTGCCGCTGACCACTAGCCAGTCTTTGAGTGCCCCCACCCTTCCCCCCTCGGCTGTGTTCGAGGCAGCCAAGCGGGCTCTGGCCTCCCGGGAGGCAGAACCTGCTGAGAGTTTGATTGAAGTTACAGCGAATCTGCAGGTGGGTGAGTTTAGGGAGACTGCTGCCTCCTTGGGACCCATCTTCCGGTTCAGTCATGCGGTGCACTTCCTCGTTTACTCAGGGCCTCCCGTACGCAGGTCAGAGCGTGAGGTCCTTAGGCCTCGGGCACGGGCGTCCACCAACGAGACGGGCTCCCGCTTTGCGGACGCCTTTCCTCGTTGGATGGGCTTTGAGGGTGTGCGGGCCGCTCTTTGCTCCCTGGATGACTGGTCGAGGTCTCGGGTGAGGTCACGTGTCCCGAGCCTTTTCTCTGGGGAGACTTGAAAGTAGGGGTTCCCTCCCTGCCCAGTGCTTTCCTGGGAGAGCGGGGCTGACCCGCACACGTTTAACCTCCCAAGACCAGTGTCCTCGGGTCCCGGCGTCTTGGGGGGTTAAGGAGAGCCTGATGCGCTGGAGTGAGTCCTCGCACTGACCCGCCGTGTGTTCGTTTGTTTGTTTTGCCAGAGAGGTGATTGAAAAGAAGCCAGAAAAGTTTAAAGTCCAGTGCTTGACAGACATCAGGAACCTGTTTTTCCCAAACACAGAGCCGTTTTACGCTGCTTTTGGAAACCGGCCGGCTGTGAGTAGTGGACGGGGGGTGGGCTCTGGGGGTCCTGCCGACTGACAGCAGCCACGGGGGAGGCTGCCCGGAGGGACGGTGGGAGGCCAGCCCCCGCCTGCCAGGAGGCGCCGGGAAAGCCAGCTGCCTCCGCCCGAGGCGGGGAGACTCCCCTTGCTCACGGCCTCTGGCTTTCCCGCAGGCGGGCTGGTGCGTTTCCGTGTGAGGCATGAGATGTGGGACTAGACACATTAAGTTCGGAACCGCTTGCTGAATTGGTAAAACAGGAACACGGAGTAGGATTAGCCGCTTCCTCCCACACGGGGACCACGAAGCCAGCCCTCAGCCCCGCGGGGAGTCGGTTTCCAGAGCAGAGCAGCCCCCGCTTACCCGCGGCTTCGCTCTCTGTGGCTTCAGTAACTGATCAGCCGCAGTTGCAAAATGCTCCATGGAAATGTCCGGAAGTAGCTCACAAGTTTTAACTCGCTCACCTTTCTGAGCCGCGAGATGAAATCTCCCACGTCCTACGCCGCCCCGCCCCACCCGGGAGGCGCTGGCGCTTTGCCCCCTCCCCCCTGCCCGGTGTATTCACACTGTGGATGCGCCTCGCCCATTAGGCCAGTCACTCAGCCGTCAGGTGATCAGACCGACGTGCGGTGTTGCAGTGCTGGGGGCCAGGTCACCCGTTTTACCGAGTAATGCCCCTTCACGCCACTTTCCCTGTTGCCGTGCACCGCTGCGCTTGCTCCGTTATCTGGGGTGGTTATTGTTCCTGTGCCTCAATGTCAAGTACACGTAGCCAGAGGTACGCGTGCACAGGGACAGTGTGGCCTCTATCGGCGGGGTGCCCTCCGAGGTTTCAGGCACCCGCTGGGGGCCTGGGAGCGTGTCCTCTGAGGACCAGGGCCCGCCGTGCTGTTCCACACGTGAGAGACACCCCGTGGGGTTGGGTGTCGCTGCCCCCGTTTGCTGGAAAGCTCAGCGTTAGAGAACCGAGTCGGGGAGTAACTTCACATAAGAAAGTTCTACATGTGAAGAAGACGGGCCAGAGAGCAACCTTCAGGAATGTCAGGGTGCAGGCGGCTCACTGGGGGGTCCACCCTCTGACTCCCTTGCTGCATAGACCCGTACGATGCCCAGAGGGGAAAGCTGGTGTCACGTTCACGCCCAAACACTCTTCCCACACGGCGGGTAGCGTAGTGCTGGTTCGTGAGACGGCGCAGCATCGCGTCCAATGGGGGAGGTCCTGTGTCTGTATTCACAACGCACTCCTTCTTCCCGACCCTTTCCCCAATGCAGGACGTGTATTCGTACAAGCAAGTAGGAGTGTCTTTGAACCGAATATTCACCGTCAACCCCAAGGGCGAGCTGGTGCAGGAGCACGCCAAGACCAACATCTCCTCGTGAGTTCGCGCCGGCCGCCACCGTGGCCACCGCTGCTGTGGCCAGGGTGATGTGGGTGTGGCCTCTTACATTCACGGCATTCCTTTGGGTCCTTCGGTTGCCTATATTTTCATCTTTAATCCCTGCAAGGAAAATATGCTTTCACTCCTCGTATTTTTGCCCAGAATGTAATGTTTGGACAATCTGGATTGAATCAGGTCCCCTCTGGGTGGAACATGGAAACCGGCGGTTACATGCTGCTCCGGAGTGGAATTGAATGAATTTGAAAACGAGTGGTTTTGATTTGCCAAGTTGGGTCGAAAAGCCTAGAAGGCGAATGAAAAGGGTCACCAAATGGACTCTCACATGACACTGTATTTAAGGATGAGGCGCATTCTGGCATGGGCGCCATCTCACACAGTCACTGCTGCGTGATCGTCCGGGTTCCTCCCGGGGTTGTGGTCACGCCGTTCCCGGAGGCAGAGGGCTGGGTGGGGGCCTGGAACGAGGCAGCCTGGGGGGCTGCAGACACTCTCTTGACCTTGACAGCGCGTTCCGAGGCGGGCCCACCCTGCTGGCCAGCGGAGACCTGCTCCCCGGGGGTGCGGCTGCCTCCCCTGGCCGCAGAACTCACACGCGTAGGTCTCAGGGCAGGAGGAGGTCTGAACATTGGCTTCAGTCCCAGGAAAGACAGCCTCTCGCTGTGAAGGGAGATGCTTTGTGTCCTGCGAGCTCAATGCTCTCAGAAGCCCTGGGAGGGCCTTGGTTGGACACACGTGCTCCTTCTTGTCTAACAAGCCATCTCATGCCTTAGGCAGGCCGCTTCCTCGAGACGGGTGTTGGGAAAGCCCCTTTCGGTTCTCAGCAAATTGGTGCTGGAGAGGGACCCGGTGGCCGCGAGGGGCTTGGTGTGCAGAGAGGCCGGGCTGGTTACGGTGTCGGGTGGGAGGCACCGGAGCCTGAAAATGCGTCAGCGCAGCAGCTTACTTTTTGGAGCACAGGCCATGGAAACGAAGATGCTCCGGCCTCTTGGGGATCACAGAAGCGAGTGAGGGGCCTGCAGGGAGCACTGAGAAGCAGGGCCTAGTTCAAGTCCATGCTCGGAACTGAGCCCAGGGAGGGAGAGCCGGCCCCAGGCTCCAAGCAGGAAGGCGGGGGAGGGGGGGGAGGGGGAAGGGGGGGGGTCCATTTCCCCAGACCACGGCAGCGGAAGGTCCAATACGCGTCCTTAGCCCAGGGCCCAGCGCCTTCCCACTGCACAGAGGCCTGGGCTCGAGATGCTCCAGAGGCCGATTCCCTCCCGAGAAGCGCACATGTGAGCTCTGCAGGGGCGCTGCCTCCGCTGCTGACTCCTCTTGTCCTGCAGCTCTGCCTCCGGGGTCCTCTGTGCCTCCGCAGGCCCGTCGCCTCGCCCGGGGCCTTCTCTCATCCTGCTGGCGCTCCCTGCGGCCTCCTGCCGATTCCAGAGCGCCCTCCGCAGCGTTAGCCCCGGGGTCCGGCCCTAGGCCCGTGGGTCTCTCCTGGTTTCCGAGCTCGGCGCGGGGAGCATGGCAGGTGCTGCCCTGGGCGGGCGTCCCTGGCGGGCGGTGACCTTGTCCGTGTCCTTCCAGGTACGTGCGGCTCTGTGAAGTGGTTGACCACGTCTTCCCGCTGCTGAAGAGGAGCCATTCCTCGGACTTCCCCTGCTCGGACACGTTCAGCAACTTCACCTTCTGGCGGGAGCCGCTGCCCCCGTTCGAGAACCAGGACGTCCACTCTGCCTCGGCGTGACGCCCCGCAGCCGCCTGCGTCAGCCAAGACCGGCCGCCCATTAAAGGATCGGTTGTGGGAGCCCAGGAGGGAGCTCAGGAGCCGCGTGCGGTCATTGCCTGAGGGCAGGGAGCTGGGGTGCACCCTCCTGCCTGCTCCCCGGGGCTGGCGTTTCTAAGTCAAGTACCAGAGTGCACATCCTGGATAAGGAGTCGGGTGCACTCCTGGAGTGGGGGGGGGGAGGGGCCTTTCCTCGCTGTGGCTGAAAGCCAGAGACCACGCTGCCCTGTCTGCCTGCGGGCAGCCTCGTCACTGGGCAGCGTGTCCCTGTGAAGCCCAGCAGAGCTGGCGCCTGGTCCCTGCTGGGGACAGTGTCCCCTGAGGTCGCCAGGTGCGTGCCATGTGGAGAGGGGCACACGTCCCCGTGGTGGCTCCACCCATCTTCTGCTCCCCGTGGGGGTCGGGGGTCGGGGGCACATGCGGGGTCATGTGACCCAGATCTGGGGTCTCTGAAGGGCCTGGCCCTGTGGGTGTCCCTTGCAGTATTTGCCAACGGTCTAGTTTTAGGTGACAAGCTCTTCTTTATACTCCGGTTAGAGAACCGACGTCACTGGCACCCCCTCCCCCCGCCCCCTTTTTGTGGCTCACGGCTGGACTATCTATGCCTTAATGCACCCGGCAGACGTGTTCCCTGGAATGTGCTTTGTCCAGCTCCCGGTAACTGCGAAGCCTTAAGCTCAGGCCCAAGGGAGTGTGAGGGGCAGTGTTTCCCGTCAGGCCGGCCCTCGGCCGCGGCCTCGCCTCCGGCAGGCGGAGCTGGGCATGCGGCTGGCACGGAGCCGATGCCACACGGCTGCGATGCCAGTTTCCACGGGAAGCTCTCAAACGAAGCTGCTTGGTTTTAAGAAAATCGTCTCAAGAAGTTAAATTATATTCTTTGTAGATATTATTTATTACTTTACTCTGATTGGTTATTGTTTTAAGCATTTAGCCATAGTCTTTCTATGATAACGGTCACTGAAATATTAAAAAGATGTACGTTAGACTACCCAGAGCCTTATTCTCGAATCTCACCACACCGACCTTTTTATTTTCCTCAGCTTTTCCCACTCAAGTCAGGCACGGCACGTGGATGAGTAACGGCTGGGGGGCCATTCTTTAAGCCATGGGGAGATGGACTCTCTTGTTTATATAAACAAATTATCGAGAGAACAATTTGAAAAGTTAGAGAGTTATTTTGGTAAAAGATTTTGCTTTATTTTTTGAAGTATTATTTTTCTAAAGCGTTTTCCTCCAGTGGCTGAAGTGCTTTCCTATTCAGATGCTGCTGTTAGAGTCCTAGGAGGCCGCACTGTGGAGCAGGCGATGGACTCGGCTCTTTCTGTGAAAGAGACACAGAGGTTGCCCGGCAGGCGGCAGGCGGCAGGCGGCAGGCGGAGGCTCCGGGACGAGGCCCCGTGGGACGGCTGTGGCCCCACAGAAAGGCATCCCCTTTCATAGAAACTTGCACGCACCCTCCGAGCCCCTCGGGAGGCACGAGACGTGATGAAACACGGTCCTGCCTGAGCTCTGGGCTTGGGCACTGCCCACCTTTGGAAGCTACACTCATTCTTTCTTCCAGAGGGTGTTCGGGGTGAATTGTAGCTGCTGTGACCTGAGTCTCGTTCCTCCTCCACCGGAGAGCGAGGCTGGGAGAGGGGGCACCCCCTCAGGCCATCGCCCCCCCAGGGCGAGCAGCGCCGGCCGCGCCACCTGCAGGTGTGAGCGCGTCACCTGGGGCGCCCGCCCCGCGGCACGTGACCCGGGCACGCCTGCCAGAGAGTGGCCCTCGGATCTGGGTCCAGGTCACATCTGGCACGGGCACACCGGCCGCGGCTGGGACACGAGACGTGCACGTGGGGGGCGTGCACGCGTGTGCGTGTGGGCTTGTCTGTGTTCACACTCACCGGCCCGCACCCCGCGGACGGGCCGTGCTGAGCGCGCCTGCGGAGAGGAGTCCCTCAGAGGGGCGTCGCCCGGGGTTCCTGCTGCGACGGAGAACGCAGGCCTGTGCACGGAGACATGAGGACGTGCAGAGACTCCCCTCTGCCGCTTCGGGTGCGGCTCCCCGCTTTCACCGGTGCCGCTTGCAGCACCTCCTGTGCGCGTATGTGCTGGGAAACGATGCGCATCATTGTGATACTCCTTGTGTTGTGCTGGATGCAGAGCTAGAAACTTGGAATAAAAGAGACCCATGAAAGGCTTCTGAAAGTCAGTGTGAACTTTATTTTATTTATATTTTGTTATTGATCTCAGAGAAGAGGGGAGAGAGAGATAGAAACATCCATGATGAGAGAATCACGGATCGGCTGCCTCCTGCACGCCCCTACTGCCTCTCGCACGCAGGGAAGCTCTTCCACGGGTGGAATTTCTCCAGGCCTCAGCTGCCAACACCCGAATACGTAAAAGACTCCTTATCCTGGCTTTCAAAGCCGACACCCATCCCCCCACGCCCCCCACCTCCCAGCCTCGCCATCCCTTTCTTTGGAAGCCACGGAACACTGACAAGTGGCCATGGGCTTGGGTCCCTGCAGAAGGTCATGCGTGAGCCGGGGCGCCACCCGGGGGCGGGAGAAGAGGCGTGCAGGGCAGCGAGGCGGGTGCCTTTGAACAACAGAGAGAACCTGACTTCTGGAACCTGCGTGTGCGCTTCTAACAGGAGCGCTGCCCCAGCTGCTGCTCCAGGACAGCCACCAGTCCCTGCCACCCAGTCCTGGGCCGCCCCCTGCACGCCTGTTTTGTGTCCAGACCAGAGAGGCGACGTGAGAGCAGGGCTGCCGTTCCCGTGGGCCCGGGCCGGCGGGAGGACATCCCCCTCAGCCCCGAATGAAGGGGAAGTGGTTACGATGCCACTGGGCCTCCTTCCCGCCTCTGGCCCCTTTTCCCGCTCCTGCTGCAGTCGAAGGAGGCACGTGGGCTTGGTGCCTGGAAGGAAACCAGACAGAAGTTGGCCCTGGCCCCGGCCAGTTTGGCTCAGTGGATAGAGCGTCAGCCTGCGGACCAAAGGGGATCCCGGGTTTGATTCCGGTCAAGGGAGTGTACCTCGGTGGCAGGCTCCTCCCCGGCCTAGGCCCTGGTCAGGGGTCGTGCAGGAGGCAACCAATCGATGTGTTTCTCTCTGCCTTTCCCTCTCTCTCCCACTCTCCCTAAAAATCAATGGAAAATTATCCCCAGGTGAGAATTAACAACAAAAAGGTGGCCCTGAAAGCCAGTGGCTCCCCATGGCCACCTGGGGGCACACTCCATTTGGTTTGGGGGCAAAGCCTTTGAAAACATGATCCAGGCTTGATAGAGGCCCCTCCCGGACGCCAGCCAGGTGAGTGGTGGGCTCCTGCCGGGGGAGGGGAGGAGCGCCTGCCCCCCCCCCCCCCCCGACGGCCCGGGCACCGACGGCCAGGGCACCACAGGGCCTCCAACTGGAACCGCTCAAGGTCAGCATCACCGACTGGCGTGGAGGAGGGAGGTGCTGGCGGCTGTTTGACATTTGGGCCCAAGATGGGTGGTTCCCAAAGCGTAGTCTTGGGGCCTGCAGTGCCTGCATCTGGCGGCTTGTTAGCAATACAAGTCCCTGGGCCCCACCCGGGACCTTTCGCACCCACCTGGGTGTGGGGCCCACCTGTGTGGATACATCCTCCCAGATGCCGGTGCTCGCTCTGCTTCCAGAGGCACACTGAGGCCCGGGCCCTGGTTCCCAGGAGCTGCGCATCCAGGGGCAGCTGGCATCTGACTCGGGCCTGGCCAGGGCGACAGAAAGGACCTGCTGAAGGAGGGAGGCCCCTGGAAACCCACGCAGGGGTCCCCCGAGTCCCCAGGTGTGCTGAGCCTCTGGTGCCAGCAGCTGGCCAGAGCCACCTTCCTGGGCATCTCGGCGGCAGCAGGGCCTGCCTGGGAGGGGAACTGCGTGCGACAGGCCGGGCCGGGCAGCCCAGCACTTGGAGCCGGAGGACCCGGGCTGGGCCCAGCGTTCGGACGGCTCTCCCGCCCCCACAGGGTCGGGGCCTGGAGGGGCTGTGCTGTTACCCGGGATCCTTGCATGGGGCAGGAAGTCCATTCAGCCCGGCATGGCTTTTAATGAGTCCTGCAAGCAAGTGGCCTCTTCCGGTGACTCATTCTGCCTTTTGTGCACCGGAGGCTGTGGTTTTAAGTTTCACTTTGGGGAGTAACCACACCGCCGTTGCCGCTTTCTCCGCTGCTGGAATCCGGGCAAGTAACAGTCATTGCGCAACCAAGAAGCGTGCACGCGGCGGCCGTCCCGCTGCTGCTCTGATTGTAAAAACATCCTTTTCCGAGACGGACAACGGGCCGAGTGAGGGGGGCCCGCTCTGCAATTTCAAGGAACACATTCCTTTGGGGATTTGATGTGTTTTCCTCGCAGAAGTGGCCGGGCAGTTTCGCTTTTGTTCTTTGTCTTCTTGATTCATATTTCAGGACGATCCTAGAAATAAACAGCACGCAGTGTTGGGCGAGCGAGGTGGCTCCCCTCCGGTTCCTTGGGAGAGACTTAGTTCCAGGCGAAAGTGTGTGTTCTTGCTCTCAGGTAGCACAATGCCAAGGTAATGACGGTGGAGAGAGGTTTTATGCAGTGAAAGCGTCTTCATGTGGATTTTCCGCGGAATCGGAGTGTGGTCCCCGAGAAGGTGAACTGCTTAGGATCAGACAGACGTGTTCCGTGGACAAACACCATGGGACGTTTTCCTCCAATTTGAATGATAGTCATCTTCAAAAATCTTCCTGTGGAACTAAATTATGCTTACACAATTTCACTTAAATACATTCAAACCTAAGACAGTGGCCCTTATACAGTTATAAAACCAAAACGTCCCTGGCTGGTTTGGCTCAGTGGATAGAGCGTGGGCCTACAGACTGAAGGGTCCCAGGTTCGATTCAGGCCAAGGGCACATGCCTGGGTTTCGGGCTCGATCCCCAGTAGGGGGCATGCAGGAGGCAGCCGATCAATGATCCTCTCTCATCATTGATGTTTCTATCACCCTCTCCTCCTTCCTTCCTCTCTGAAATCAATAAAAATATATTTTTTAAAAAGTGGTACGTTAAAGGTGGGCAGGTGCAGGGGCAGGAAGGCCAGTGAACTGGGAGAGCACTGGGAAGGAGGGGCGGGTGCCTCAGGGGGACGGAGCGGTGGGTGTTATCAGGGTGGGGGGGGGGCCTCCTGGGCGGGGGTGGGGCTGCTGGACTCAGTCTGGAGCCATGGCTGGGCCTTGTCCAGCCGGGAACAGGGAGAGGCCCAGGATGTGAGGATGGTGGCCTGATCCCAGGTGGCGGGCATGGATGGGGAGACGTAGGGCAGCTCCGATGGGGGAGGTCAAGGCCCAAATCTAGGCCCCCCATACTATGGGGGTGGGGAGAGCCCAGGAGTCCAGAATAACTCCCATGTGCTGGCATGGACACCGGTGCCCAGAGGCGCCCCGTCAGAATGACAGCTGTGGCTGATGCTACGACAAGTATTGGGAACAGAGAACTGCTGTAGCCAGTGTGGCTCAGTGGATAGAGCGTCGGCCTGTGGACCAAAGGGTCCCGGGTTCGATTCCAGTCAAGGGCACATACCTCGGTTGCAGGCTCCTCCCCAGAGCACAGGCCCTGGTGGGGGCCCGTGCAGGAGGCAACCTAATCGGTGTGTTTCTCTCACATCGATGTTTCTGTCTTTCCCTCTCCTACTCTCTAAAAACCAATGGAAAGGTATCCTCGGGTGAGGATTAACAGCAACAAGAGGAACGGAGAACCTGCCAGGCCTCGGTGACGGGGCCCGTCCGCCGTGGCTGGACGGTAGACCTGACGGGAGGGAGGGATGTTTAGAAATCACGGGGGTCCTGCTCGCTTCGGCGGCACATATCCTGAAATCGGAACGACGCAGAGAAGACTGGCCCCTGCGCAAGGAGGACACGCACATTCGTGACGCGTTCCATATTTTACGAAAGATCATGGATGTCTAAGTCCCACCTCAGACCGGTGGGCTCCCGTCTCCGAGTCGCCAGCTGCCCCTGGGCTCCGCCTGGCTCGGAAGCGCCGATGTCATAACCTCTGGTCGTCGCAGATGTGAAGGCCCCAGACTGAGATAAAGACCCTTTGTGGGGCGGGGTTGGGGGGGAGGCGCCGTTGGACGAGGGGTGTTCCATCTCCCTGAGTAACGCAGAGGAAAAACCAACAGGAAACAAAAAGAATAACTGCGGCGACAGGAGGGGAGGGGACAGATGGGCCGCGGCTGCGCCTCGGCCGCCGGGGTCTGGGGAGCGGAACTGAGAGGCGTGAGCCGCAGAAGGAGCCGCTGATGGGACGCAGCGGCTTCGGCGCGATCAGGCCTGCAGGGAGGCAGCTACACCTGAATGTCGCCGTCCAGGGGCGGCCGCCCCCATCACCTGAACCTCCTGTTGAGTGTCTGACCGAACCTCCTGTTGAGTGTGTGTCCACAGAGCAGCCCGTCCAGCGACTGGCCAGACTCGCTGGCTTTCGGGGGAGGCTGACACCAAGGACACTTACCTTCTTCACACATTTCCCATGTGTTCTCCCCCAGGAATCCCGACGTCTCAGGCGCGGGTCTGGCTGAGCTCGGAGCTGCCGCGCGACCGGGCCCTGTCACCGTGCGTCCTCGGGGCCTGGCGTTTGCTTGGGTTTTCTAACTTTCCCGGGGGTTGGGTGGTATTTTGATGACCTTGTGTTCTTGTTTTTTTATAACAATGAATAGGGTTTTTAGATCTTGTATAATGGAATGTGTCAACATTTAGGAGATCAGTACAGCTCAGCGAATGAATGTTTTCTTTTTAAAATACCATTCTTATTGATTTTTTTTAGAGAGCGAGGAAGGGAAAGAGAGAGAAACATTGATGTGAGAGGGAAACGTGGATCGGCTGCCTCCTGCACGCCCCCTACAGGGGATTGAGCTCACCACCCGGGCATGTGCCCTGACCGGGAATTGAACCAGTGACCTCTTGGTGCCCAGGGTGATGCCCCATCAACTGAGCCACACTGGCCAGGGCAATCTTTGGAAAAATGGGACATGCATGAGACTTGGCACTGGAGTTCCGCCCCTTTGCGGGTACTAGCAGGGTTGCATCCTCCCACTGGAAGAAACCCCATCCTAAACCCATCCTAAAGCCTGGTCCGCCAGAACCCCTCTCACTAGCACTGAGCAAAATGAGAAACTGGAAAGAAGAATCTGTTAGATGTCAATTTCTTTGACCTTCAATTCCTA